ACGCCTAAAGGGAGAACATGACGACAGCGACACTCTTGTTCGCTCGTGCTTTTCGCCAGCATTTCTACGGCCAACCGCCAGGATCGCGACAGGCAACAGCATGACACTCGCGTCATTTGTTGCCACATTGGGACCACTTTTGATGTATGGGCGGGATAGGACGCTAAACACACCAGTCGAAGACGCGATGGAGGCACCATAGCCCAAGTTCGTCTGCTTCCTTTGCATGGGTTGTGGTGACGTCAGAACGACGCCAAGCTCTGATTGGTTCTAAATGAAGGATAGTGGGTAGACCTGAAGGTAGCTTGCTTTGAGGTCTACCTACTGTACTTCAATCGGTGCCAATCAGAGATCGGCGTCTTTGTGACGTCATCACAGACCCCGCAAAAGAAGCAGACGAACTTGCTCTCCGCATTCTTTCACCAGGTCCGGAGGGAACACCGTCTTTTGTAACGACTGCATGACCATATTCAGGGAACACGTACATCGCAAATATGGTCTTGTTAGGAGCACATTTGCGATTTCATTACAATAAATACCCACCCGTGTTTCTTCTTTCTTTTTTTTTGCATTACAATGTTTTTTTTTGTTTTTTTTAAAGAATTGTTTCGCATGTTAGGGTGTTTTATAAATTAAAGCCATCCTCTACGCGCTGCCATTTTTGCCTGCCGCGGGCGTTCTAGGCGTGCGCAGTTGCTCTCATACGCCGTGTATGCGATCACAGCCCAGTGACTCAGCGTTTTTTACACCCCCCCCCCCCCCCCCCCCCCTTCCCCGCTTGCAAGAAGCAAGTAGGAGGCGACAAGGCCACAGGTGGTTCTGGGCTTTGTTTCGTATTCCATCGTTTTTGTTTTCTCCGGAACGTACGCGGCCCGAACCCCGCACGACGTCAGATGCTACACTCCGCTCGCGGGGTGGAAGCTGTACGTAGCTTCTCTTTGCAGGGGTTGTGGTGACGTCAGAACGCTGAGCTCGGCGTTCGGAGCCAATCAGAGCTCGGCGTCTTTCTGACGTCACCACAATCCCTGCAAAGAGAAGCAGACGAACTTGCGCTCCGCATAGGTTCTCGTTCGACCAATCATGCTGCTGATTGGTCCGACAAGCGCGTACCTTCCGGCGCACTGTCAGCTCGGGGGACGCTAGGGCGTCCCGCAATAGTGCAATTGAGAGAGGCGTGCTGCGAGCGAACGGCTTTTACGGTCTTGGGCTCGTTGAACTTATTGTTTCGACGAACCAAACTGCTGTTACCGAGTGAGCTCTGGATCCTAACGGTCCTGATACAAAGAGGAGGGCTTCCTCATTAAATGGAAACACTTGTAGTCATTCACATGTGTCGGTCCCTCACATGGGTATAGTGCTCTTATTTAAGAGTCTGAACTGCGTAAAATTGGAGGGAACCGTTGCATCAGCGTTAAAGGAGAAGCTCGATATCATACGGGATCTGAACTCAGCAACAGACGCCATTTGATCACAAAAAGAAAAGTTAAAAAAAAAAAGTCTAACGCTGAGGGCACTCCGCGTTCCACTAGACTATAGAGGGACAAACAGAAACAGCCGACACCGACAAGCGTCGTTCAGCGTGCACGCGGTGGCGCATTTGGCAGGCGTGCAGTGTTTCTGCTCGTCGCTCTAGTGGGACTCCGGCGCAGTACGCCGTGCGACACCATCTTTGTTTCTTCTCCCTTGTGTGACGCTCCTCTGCCACATGGGTCAAACGAGAAACTGTCTGCATACATGTGTGTCCGTAGATGATTCCGCTCAGGGGGATGCAGCCGTGCAGTTAAAGAGGAGGGAAGAGGGGGGGGATGGGGGGGGGGGGGGGGGGGGGCACCGTGCCGCTGGCCCTAGTGACGCCACTAATGGGCAGTGCGCTTTCAAAGTATTCATTCGGACAACGTGAAGTGGGCCTTGAAAACGTTGCCCTTTTATCCCCCCCAGTAGCTTCACGTTCGGGTAGGCTACCAACTGGCTAAGATGAATAATTAAAAAAAAAAAAAAAAAAAAACGGCACGCACGCACACTTTTTTTTTTTATTGGTTTGAGGTGAAGTATGATTCTTTCGTATTCGTTTCCGTGCCATGATTCTTATTAAAGTAAACCAAAAATATTAATATGACCAGTAAACATACACGGACCGATGGTTGGTATAAAAACCTAAATGCAGTAACCTCACGGGGGTCAGCGGCACCCGAGGCGGTAGCCCGCCGCGACCCCCCCCCCCCCCCCTCCCCCCCTCCCGGCTCTCGTGGCCCGCCGCGACTCCCCCCTGAGCGCTGCACCCGGGGCGGTCCGCCCCCCCTCCCCCCTCCCAACCCCCCCCTTGTGACGCCACTGCTTAAATGTCCTTACTTACGCAAAAAAAAAACAAAAAAAACATTATAAACTATAACGACTTATTTTTCGACGTCCGATCGCGCAATACGACGGTCGAAGGCGAGGGTCTTCAACGCTCTCCGGTGCTACGAAAACCCTCACCCCCCAAGGTCATTCCGGTAGTCCGCACGTCGGGTCGGAAGGTTTTGTCGTACATGTGTTTGGCGCTTTAGGTCAAAGCTGAAGTTTTGGAATAATTCGCGGGTTCTAACATTCGCGACCCGGTGGGATCTGAATATAGATTTCAATATGTCAACATTTTACTCAAATTCTTTGCGGGACCTATTTTTCGCGAATTGTAGGCGAAATTCACGAAAATTAAGTCGTTTAGTGTAGTATATATATATAGACGCGGGTGGCTCCCAATGGCCCGTCGAACGCGGCGGTTTGAGACCCGTGCATAGGAACGACCGCCTATGAGAGCAAACCGTTAGACCTTCTTCGTTTTCTCCTTCCCTTCCCTCTCCCCCCATTTTCTTATTGTGTGTGTGTGTGTGTGTGTGTGTGTGTGTGTGTGTGTGTGTGTGTGTGTGTGTGTGTGTGTTGACCGCCCGCAGTCTGCCATGTCCTGATGAAGAGCGGTCCCCGCTCGGAACGTCGTCGAATAAACATATGAGTACATCTTAGGCAATTCCTTTCTGATCTCTCTCCCCTCTCTCTCTCTCTCTCTCTCTCTCTATATATATATATATATATATATATATATATATATATATATATATGTGATGATGATTGAAGCTTGTGGGCCGGTGATTATTGAAATACACAAGAAATATCCCCATTGTCAGACAAACGACCAGCATGACCGAATAAAGAACACGGATCAGGAACCAAAAACGAACGAGCAAAAAGTTCTGTTGACCAACGAAGCTTGAAACTTTCCCACGCTAAAACACTTGTAACCGAAAAAGAAAAAGGCGGAGGGGGGGGGGGGGGGGGGGGGGGGAGAAAAATTACAGACATGAGTAAGAGCTCATTATCGTCCAAGGACTGTACGTGTTCGCATCGAGCCTCACCCCTTTCTTCGTTGCCTCGCCTCACCGCCAGGGGGATCACGAAGACCGGGAGACCGTCAAAAGGTGACGCGGTTGACCTGTTGCCCCGCACGCATCGCTGCTCAGATGGCGAGGAGGAGGCTTGGGCACTTCGTTGCGCGATCATTTCACGTACTACAAAGCACGGACTACTTTGCGCGAAGCGAGTGGACCGTTGTGCCGCGTCCTCATTAACGGCTCCCGCGTGGTGGCGACGCTGGGAGGGACTAGGTTTCAAGGTCACTTCCTTCCCATCCGTCTGGCCACCTGCTCGGAATGCAGACGCGGTGCAAGCGATGAAATTATGGCGGTATGGCCGTATGGAAGGTGCCGAAACTTCTCTATAATGGTGTGGGGTGAACACGGCATACTCTATTATGTCCCTTGTCACTTGTTTTTTTCTCGCTTTATTTATGCCTTGCGCAATGAGCTTTTACAGGATCTGGCTGTCAAAGGAAAAAACGGTGCTTTTGGCGTTGGAAATGTGTAGGTTTTAATAAAATAACACAAAACTTGTATAAGATGCATCTATTGATATCCTAATTCAAATCATGAAGTGGAAACTTGGTAACGTTCCGAGCGGAGTTGAACTTTTTTACTCCGAGACTGGGATTCTAAGATAGCTGAGCTTGTTGCTGCTGAGCGCGTGTTGACGGCAAGCTTCCACAACGCTTAACCAACACGCACATTGCACACCATCATTAAGATTCTCTTCTTTGGGTGACCTATAAATAAGAAGCACGTCTCGATCATGCGCTGCGAGCAGTCAACTCAAACATGGCGCCAAGGAACCGCAGCTGACGCTAGGCGGAGCGCAAGTTCGTCTCGTTGCACAGAAGTTGCGATGCCGTCAGAACGCCGAGCTCTGATTGGCTGATTGAACAGCATAGGGGGTGCATCTTAAGGCCATCGAACATTCAGGTCTACCCACTCTGCTTTCGATCCAAGCCAATCAATGCCCGGCGTCGTTCTGACGTAATCCGGAACTCCTGTGCAAGAGCAGACGAAATGTGCGTCGTCACGGCGTTATCGTCTTTGTGCGTCCTGTCATCACGGACTAAATCAATCACGCGCAGTGAATGCGCCGCTATCCTGCGCTTTTTTGTTTTGCGCGATTGCTTTAGCCGAGTACTGCTTCCGTCCGGCAAATGACCTCCGCTGAATGGACAGCCCTTTCTTGGAACCCAAGCTTAATTAAAAAGTCAACACATTATTTTTTTTTTAACCATAAAATTTCGGAATGATTCCGCGTAAAAATAATCCCCCCCACCCCCCAATTTCCGCATAGATCACACAATACGAGTAATTTGCTTACCAGCAAAAAAGGTGACAAACGTTAACCAACAGTAACTATCAGTAATTTGATAGGCGACATCGTAGGATAGTAACGAAAATGGCCTACTCGTCAGTCGTTAGTCCTACACAGAAAATTCTAGCCTGTACGTACCGGCTTGTCAAGATTTTCAATTGGCGGGGGGGTAGGGAGATATAAATTATCAGTAATATACCTCTACTTGTGACGCGTTATTTTCAACGAGTGCCAGGAAATTATTTCACTCGGGGCATCTGGTTGATCTTGCGCCTCAAACGCAGGCACTGTCTCGAGGGAGACAACGGCGGAATCGGCGAGCGCGACTGGCGACCGCCAGGCAACAGGCAAGGGGGGACGATGACGCAACGGACGTCGCCACCAGGCAGACCAAAATGCTATACCAGGTTCCAGTTTGATTCGCACATTTTTTCCCCTCAAATTGGTTGATTTTAGCTTCTGTGATTTGTTACAACGGACCACGTTGCGACCACGTAGTCGACAAAATGACCATGATCAATACTTTATTCCACGACGCACGCTGCCAGGTCACTGTCCCCGAGCGTGGACTGCGTTGTGCCGCCGTGAACGCAAATAAAATGGACAAGCTCAGAGCCAGAAAGACAAATATAATTTTGTTTTGTATTTCAACTGCTCTTCCTTTGAAAGCCATCGTAAGTCAGTTTGTTGTGACGCATTCTTGTGCTACTTAAAACTGGAAGTACCATATCACGATTCGTATGTGTCGCCCTGAGACCGCTCTGAAGTAAAGCCCCCCGATAAAGGCGTTTTTTACTAGTATCACCATCCACTGTTGTGGAAACGCGCAAGACATGCTCCATCCACGAGCAGGTGCTTCGCCGCCAATCACTTCCAAGGGCGGGGGTATCGGTGGCCGAGTGGACTAGCGCACACCAACTCGGAGCACGGAGCTGTAGAACCCAGGGATCCTGGGCTCAATCCCCACCCATGCCCGTTTGTATTTGGATGAGCATCATACCGCAGTGCGGTCGTGTATCGCTACTGCGTGGTACACGTTATGCTCATCTGCAGCTGAGCTACAAGTCGCCCGGGCCGCTCGTTCCAGTGCGCAGTGCGGCGGCGCCATTTGCGTTCCAAGGGCCGTTCTAGACATGGGCCTCGTACACTGGCGCATTTGACGCTACTTGTAAGCAAAAAGGAAACAGATCTCGAGGGCTTTACCTCTTGAGGACTCCAAACTTCCAGATCAAATACATTTTTGAAAACGAAACTGCTACCCACTGATCTCTATTGTCTCTATGATTGTCATAGAGATCAGTGCTGCTACCTCACCACTAAATCCAATCCAATCCAACAAAAGAAAGCCGGAACTTACGTCAACCACGAAATGTTCCGCCACTTCCGTGTGTGTTCTCGGGTGTTTGGGCCGCTTGGCTTGCCAGCGCGATGTTTGCTGGCGGTGGTAAACGCGAAGCCACAGCAAACATGGCTTTAATGGAGGTAAGATGACCATCGAAACTTTAAATCTGCCGTCTTCCGAAGCTTTCCCGTGGCGACGTTACCGTAGTAAATCTAACGCAGCCTACGGAAATCGCATTTGAAATTGCGTCGTGTCGAGGAAGTACTAAGCCTAATCGTGTTTTCGTCCTTTGTATTTGGCGTATATTAAAATACTTTTTTCTAGCTGCCTCATAACTGTTTCAAGGCGGCATACTTGTAGCGTGGGTTTATTGTCTATCCTAAAGTTGTGTTACAAGCTTCAGTCCTTTAAAGTGCTCTCAAAATGCCGGTAAAGCGACGCGCTTTACCGGCATTTCGACAGCTTCCATTGTGCTTGGACCCGAATTTCCTCTGAAGAGCGTGTTTGTCTCTCTCATGTTTGCCACAGGGGTACATACCAGACAGGGTGAAAAATGCGGAGAAGCGACTGGAGCAGAACGTCTACGACATCGAGGCGTGGAGTATTCTGCTTCGCGATGCCCAGGTGATTAAATTCAAACCTACTTTTTTTGCTATGAAACGTTTTGAGCTCGCGTGGGGTTTGCCCCCTGGTGACTGATTGCCGCGCGTTAATTGGTGGCAAGAGGAACCACCGTGGTTTGCCTTTTCTCCTGCCCAACCTCTGGTGTAACCGTAATGCACAATTTTTTTTTTTTTTGTAAGGCTCATTTTTTAGGTTGTGCCGAGTCATCCTTTATTGTCTGATGGCCTTGCATGATCCGTATACGGCGAGAGCAAGTGCCCCAGAACGACTCTCCTTGCATCAGAATGCATGGAAAGGCATGCCAATTAAAGTAAACATAGAGAATGCGCAGGGGATGCGTAATCACTAGGCAGCTTAGCATACACTGTCATTGGTTGAGGAGGGAGGGAGGGGGTAACAGAAGCATGGGGACGCATTTGGCAGGAAAACAAACACATGCTCAAGGGGGAGGCAAACTTGCATGCCAAATAATCCTGTGTGTCCTGCGAGTCTGTTCCAAAAAATGTTGCATTCTAGCCTCCACCGGAGGTTTACACATTTTTCCGCTGGTTGCTGTCATTGTGCGGAAGAGGTACCACCGGGTGCTAATGAAATGCGAGCGATGGGGCCTTCAATACCCGCTGCGTAACCTAGAGGCAAGCAGGAACTGATAAAACTGCGGAATGGAGAGAGAAACTATGAAGGTGTGCACATTGGAGAAGGTGCACACCCTTGCAGCCCCCCATCTCCACTGCGTACGTACCTCGCACGTGACGTCAGTCCGCCTATTTTTCTGGTGACGAGAAGCGTCTCGCTAACTCAGTGGAAGCTACCGTCTCGCGTGCTTTTTTCCCCATTATGTCTGGCCAAGTGATATCAGCCTAGATGCCTGTAGGTAGCACAGCATGAATCGAAGCCCACACGCTCCTCTTTTCACATTTCATTCGTACTCAACAGCACGCCGTGTGACTGTGTTAGTGTCAAACTCTACATCCGCATTATTTAACATTCCACTTGGAAAGGGTATCAACGTAGGGCAAATTTCACTGCTTCGGTTAGTGTCCCGAGCGAGCACCTTTCACCGAACACATATCTTTTTACAGCACGCTTTCGATTCCACGAGAAAACTGACAGCTGATTTTTTGTGCACACAGAAAGACGGTTGTATTGAGCTAAAAACTACCAAATCAACTGAAAAAAAAAAAAGAAAAAAGTTTAGAGTCAGTTTTGTTTAGGAGTTTAATTGGCTAGGCATGTTCATGCTTTAGTCTTGTCTACTAGAAAGTCGGTTTAATCATGGGGGCAAAGGAATGCTACCTTTTTTACAGAAGCAAACTCGAGCCTCGGAGTGGTGATTGGCAGATGCTGTTGCACATGCACATTCGTGCGAGCATCCTGTGAACAGAATGTGTGTATTCATAATGTCGGAAGGCGGTCCGCACCCCCCCCCCCCCCCCTTCCTCACACCAATGCTCCAGAGCTGACGAAGCACTCTTCCTTCGCCGTACTGTGCTCGACACAATTCGAGCACAGTTGAAGCGTAGTGCTCGACGCAATTTTTAATGGAACGTGCTTGCGTGGCTTGCGGACCCCGGTGGCAACTTTTTTGGTGCCAGAGTAATGCATTGGGAGTGTCTCGAAGCAGCAAGATTTGTCGCGTAAGACACACGGGGAACTGCAGATTGCCCCAATAGACCCGTTTCAAAAGTCCATTGAGCAGCATTGATTGTCGCCATTTCTTCGGCACAAAACGCGTGACTGGATCGCCGAGCACCGACGCAGCTCTCGTGTCCAATACATGTTCGGAGTACACGATCAAGCAATGGCATACAGACGATGGCACAGTCTTTTGAAGAGAGTCCATTATGGTAGCTGGTCGTAGATTTGGCAGCACAGCAGACAAATGGACCTTTTTTACTGAGACTTCTATGCACGTGCAGGTCCTCGTCATGAACCGGTGAAAGCTCAAACTATGGCTGGCATTCTGAAAGGGAGTTGTGCTACCTCTTCTGCATCCTCCAACTCGGCGGCTCCGAGTGCCTCGGAACCGCCACCTGGGGCAGGTTCGAATTTGTCTAGTTGAGGAGGCGAGAGAGGTAGTGCAACTCCCCTTCCAGACTCGAGTTGCACTTCAGGCTTTCGCTGCTTCGTGTCGTCTTTTATATTAAAAGGGGCCACTGACATTACGGTGTTTCAACCTGTGGACACGAGTTCTTGTCGACTGGACGTCTTTGCCTTCGCCGCCGTGCTAGTGGTAGAGTCGCAACAATCTGCAGACGGGGACAAGCTTGTGTTTGGTGTTCCTCTGAAAGCATGAAACGGACCACGATACATTTTTCTCGACTACGCAATGTGCAGTTGAAGTCGGTGCTGTGACATGGTCCCTCTGACCCTCTGACTGTTTCCGCAAACGGCGACCAAACTCTGACGTCTCTTTTTTCCCCCCCCGTTTTTTTCTCCCGGTCGCCTGCAGAACAAAAAGATGGAGGACGCCCGACCCCTGTACGAGAAGATTGTCACCCAGTTTCCCAACGCAGGCCGCTACTGGAAGATATACATTGAGCACGAGGTTTTGTATCAGTCACATTTCTCTCTTTCTCTCTTTTTACCCTTATCTCCTCTCCACAACCAGAGGCATGACTTGCGTTTCCTTGGCCGCGACCGACTGCAAGCTTTCTGTTTGCGTCCGCTGGAGCTGCGGATGTGCATAGTTGCAAGTGTGATTACGGTTTCCTTGCGTCGATTGTGACGTGATGTTGAAGCTAGCTTGGGAAGTTTGTGAGTTCATCTCTCTACGAGCTAGTCGTCAAGTGTACTATTCGGGGTAATTTTTTTTCATCAACGGAGGAAAAATTTGATTGCTTCGTTGTCTTCTAGCAATTCGGTCGATTGGAACTTAAGGCTACTTTGAATGGCAGGCGAAGAGCCCTTTCGTCTCTGAGCAACCTTTGTGAGGGAGCAACCCAGAAACTTGCTCAAGCTCTGTTAACTGGAATACACATCAGGGTAGGGCTGGTGTGTATTACTCAAACTGGAAAAATCACTCAACTGCAAAACAATATGTAAAAGTAAATTTTTTTGTTTTTTTTATTCTTTTTGGGGCTAAAACGGAGCTTAATTCAAACAATGCTGTAGCGGCCTCCTCAACGTCGATGCGTGGCACTGGCATGCGAACTGAAAGCTTGTGGTTGATCGTGTGCCCCCGTCTAGACAGGGTAGTTTCAAAGTTTTCCCCCGGTTAGGCTTTTTTCCTGTCTTCATCGAAGACAAATAAATTCCTCTGAGCCCCTTATTTACCTGCCCCTTTCGGTCGTGCCCTCTCCTTGAAGGCCGTGGGGTGGGAGACTGTTTTTTTTTTTGCCTGGAAGCCATGTGCACGGTGTCTTTGATTCCTTTGTGGTCTCATTTACTGAGTGGCGTCTGAATGAATCGCGTTCCAAGACACACACATAACACATCAACCACACCACACAAACTTTCCAAGCACTTTTTTTTTTGTGCGTGTGTGTGAAATGGACGACTGGTGTTTGCCTGTGTGTGCGAGTGTGAGCGAAAGGGAGGTTGGAAGTGTGCGAGAAATGGAAATTGTTTTGGGGAATCAGAAATGTGTTAAAAAGAATGGTCAGCTTTGATCGGGGTGGAGTGCAATGCAGACAGACCACTCCCCTGTAGCAGGTAACTATTCCAAACTGGTAGCGGTCCCTTTCGATTTGGAGCAGCTAACCGTAATAATAGAAATACTGCCGTCATGAAAGCTGAAGTGCAGCGTTTCTAGTACTGCCAGGGTGATTTGTTTTCGGAGCAGTAAACCATTATAGTGTTAGAGGTGCAATGTGGGCCTGTAGGTTCATGCCTGAAGAAAAGGACCACGTCGTGCAAAATATCTTTAGGACAAGCGAAAAGAAGTGCTCAGGATGAGCATTGAAAGCGTTTACCGAAAAAGAGCAACGAAGGAAACAACCATATGATGGAATCAATGCCTCTTAGTGACAGCACCAGAAATGTTTTGGAAAGGTTTGCATGCTAAGCTTGCCCTTTTCTCCCCACTACGGGTTGACATTAGTTCCAGAGTTGACATAGCCTTAGTTGATTTGCCAAGTTTCGTGCGGAATCATCCTTGGAACGATGCGTGACGGTCGGTGGAGATGCAAAGCAATATTGGTGTGCCACCACCAGGACAATCGTCGAACCCCTTGTACCCTGAGAGCAGTTAAATGTGCGGAACGTCCACGACGCTTATTGGTGTGCCGACGCATTAAAGAGCAGTGCATGGTAACTTTACTTTGCATTGCTTGCCCTAGTCTTTTGGGGCAGCACTACTGCTGATTTTTTTTTTCTCGATTGGTTACTTGTTCCATCTCTTTTGAGCTAAAATGAACCGTGCCTGCGTACCTCATGCGGGAAAGGTCCTAATATTCTGTGCACGCTAGCTCTGGGAGTGGCGCATTCTGTTTGAGCCTCTATCGACTGTTGCAGGATTTAATTTTTACTGCACTGGGATAGTGACTAATGGAGGCTGGGAGGATGTTGCGAGTGAATATGATCGGTTGGTGAATGTGCGTGCCCCGTTGCACTCTTTCCTCGTGGCATAAATTATGGTTAATCGCCATGGACCCTATCTTTTATAACCTCGCTGTGGTCGCACGTTTAGAAGAGGCGGCAGTACCTTCTGTGTTCAGGGGATTGCTAGGTTAATGTTTTTCACACTGGTGTCAGTTTGCTGGCTTCCAGAGTCGAGAAGATTCTCGGCAGAGAATTCTAAAGCTGCCATTCTGGATAGAACAAGTTTTTCAGAATTTTTTTGTAGTGCTGATTTAATGAGTCTTGATTCATTGGTTCCATAAATTTGATTTATAATTTTTCATAATGCTTTCCTTTTCTTTTTTTGGCATTGTGGTGTCTTAAACTTTGTTTAAGGTTTAGCTGGTCCATTGATATCACTATTTGAGGATACCTGTTAGATCTGGGTGTCTTAAAGGGACACAAAAAAGAAAAAAAAGAAGCTTTTTCTAAACAGTCGGGTTGGGACACGTCCGTGATGTCACGGAACGGTCATACACTCCTTCTTCCTCAACGACACGGTCATGCACTCTCTCCACCTCAACGTGATATCCAAGCCGATCCACCTCTCCTCCATGCGCCAGAAATGCCGAGAGAGAAAACAAGTTGAAAGGAGGCTACCACCGACTAAACTGCGTCTCGCGCTGTCATTATTGCTTTAAAAAGTTCGCTTAAAATAAATTTTTTTACACGTGTCCCAACCAGTCTGTTTAAAATAAAATTTCTTTTTTTCTTTTCAGTGGCCCTCTAAGTCACATCGGTGACATACCAAGGTGCACACTCTACGTGCTTGGTAGCCTTCTATCGTGTGCAGAAATTGTTGAATGTGACAATTTGTTACGTTTAGCGAGGGGCACCAATTGTGGGGCTGAATGAGAGTGACTGTTGTGAGGAACTGTCTGTACACTTGGAGTGACTGGAGAAGTGTGGTGTCAATTGAGAAAAAGTGACTGTTTTGACAGTCGAGCGTGTTTCTATTGCAGCAATGAGGTTACAGGGCAAATAGCGTTTTTTTTTGTCTTGTGCAGTAAAAAATGAATTCTGCCAAGACTAGATTTTTTATTTTTCAAGCTTGTAGGGTTTCTTTCAAAACCGACTAGTGCATTTTTTTTTTTTTTTAGTTAAGATTTTGGCAAATTATAAGAAACCTTCCAGTTGGAAACAAGCCATGGTAACTGGGACAATGAGAACGGCAGGGCGTGTGCTTCAAACGCCTGGCCTTTAGCGTCTGCTCCATGCCTTCCACCATGCTTTGGCTACGTGCAGACGCTCAAGGTGCGCGAGATGCCGGAGCATTGGAGGAGGTAGCTTGCGTTGGAGGTGGGACTTCACAAGTTCCTCCCCGCCATCCTCACCTTGTCAGTGGCTGCAATTAAATATTGGGCACTATTTCACTGGTTATGGTTAAGTGTGTGCGAGTGGGCCGCGTGCCATGCTGAATGTATGTGTGTGCGTGCTTTGGAATGCTGAACAAATGAAATGATATCCTGCCATCGTGACGGGTCGGTTGGAGGGTCCTGGCGTAAGATTATCGCTTAACTTGTTGGAGAGGAAGTCCAAACAAAAAATAGTACTCTGTCTTTCAAAGTTTGAGAAGCCATGCGCAGATGGCTCTTCCATTTTTTTTTTTTTTTAACAGCTTCCCAGAAGTTGCAGTCACTTTCTGGGTAATCATGCCTGACCCTCCAATTGAAAAGTGTGCTTGTGAACAGGAAGTAGTTTACAAAACATTAATCTATAACTTTGCAAGTATTATTGAACATACAGATTAAGGTTCATACATGCAGTCAATACACAACATATACTCTTTTCTGCTTTTGTTCTCTTCACTAAGTGGAAAGGCTTCTGACTTCTCCACATAACATTAGACACATGTCTAAGCATTGCACTGAGATCACCTAGTTTGCCTTTTTGTACACTACTGTAATCATGGATTACACATTACATTGAAATAAGTACACAATATATTACAGCACAATGACATTTAACACTACACACTACATGTGAAACACCTTGTCCTGTCTTCTTTCTTTCCTCTGCATGAGTTAAGACACGGAGCCGAAATAAAATTAGCCCTCAAAGACGTCTCATCTTAAATGTTGTGCATGCTCAAGTTTTAAGTTGCTTCGTAAAAGAGCCCTTTGCTGTAGTGCAATAAACAAAGTCCACCTTTGAAAACGGTTTTTGCGTAAGATTTTGTTGACCAAACGGCTACTGTGTCTTCTCTGTGTCCACTTTTAGTGCTTTTGCGTTGGAGTTGGCATTGCTTGGGTGTTTGAGGAGGTGGTTTCGGCCAATGCGGGAAGGTGCGGCATCCATTGTTTTTAAACACTACTTTAAAGGTAGGCCATTTGTAGTTTTACAAGATGGCAAGTATAAACTTGCATCAATGAGCGGTTTATCTGTCTCCCACAACCACTTGCAAAGATTGCTAGAGGAGGGCAAAACATCCTTACTAGCTTTTGCGTGGCCTCATTAATAAACTGTGTTCATTAGTGCTCACTATGTTTCGCTGCACATATACTTGCAAGCAACAGTGCTTCAAGAACTAATTTGGCTTTTCGTGGGGACGGCTTGGCCAGGCTTTAACGTTGGGCAATGTGCATGACGTACGGCAATATGATGGTATTAAGAACAAATTGTGATCAAGTGAACACAATTGTCAATTTAATCTCAATCTAAGAACTCAACAACTGGTCTGGTTCAAGGAGCCTTTTAGTGGGGAAACAATAAAATGTTCCAATGTTTCATGTCTATGCGCTGTTTCACACTACGATATACCACGGAGGGTGCCATGAGCCATCCAGTCCTTTCGATACTGCACCTGTCCTTGGGTCACTGGATACTCGCACTGCATTGGACTGGCTCTGATAACTCGTAGCGCCCTCTGCAGGCCATCGTGAGGTAAAACTTGGTGTAGCACTTTCACAAATGGATGCCGTGCCTTCTCCGTCGTCGCTCCGGATCATCAGTCTGCCATGTTTTTTTCTAGAGTTCTATTAAACCTGCGAGCCCCGCTTCTTTACGGTCCATGGAGCTAGGCGGGGGCAAAACCCGATGCCATCGTTAACGCCGCGAGGTTTGTTTAGGATCGCTGCGGCCCTAGCTATCCGGTCTAGTGTCGCACGGAGGTAAGTTTGGCAGGATAGGCTTAGCTGGTTTTCACTGGTCTTTATTGCTGCATGTCACGCACCTGGTGAGCACAACTTGTCCAACAAACTCGATCAAACTATACACCTTTGCAAGTCCGGCTTCAGGGCACCGCCATCTTGATCGGTTGGGGTGCGCTTGGACGCGTCATAATCCGATTACGAAGCCTTGCTAAGGCTAATTGGATTATGGCCGTGTCCAAGCATGTTCCAACTGAGCGATACGGCAGCGCCCAGAGACCAGACTTGCAAACGTGTACACTACGCTTCACCTTGCGTCCGGCGGATGCCAAGAACCGTCTGAGCCGATCTGAGGCCGCGTCGGTTTCCCGTGACCTTTGAGAGGAGGTGCTCGATGTGCCGAATGGTTGGTTGCAAGCTAGTTCAGCGAGCTGGATCGGTCGTGGAGGGGATCGGTGGCCGAGCGTGTTGGTGCACCGTAGCTCTGAGCACGTGGAGCGAAAGCTTGCGCTGCAAAACCCGGGGATCCTGGGCTCGATCCGTCTAACACCTGCCCATTTCGATTTGTACGAGCGTCGTACCAGCATGCGGTCGTGCCTCACTACTGCGCTACGCACGTTAGGACCTCCAGGCTGGTGGTGGTACCGCACTGGCTCAATTTCTTGTCCACAGCCTAAACCGGTGTCGCCGCATCACAAAGGCAGACCGACCTTGCGCCGTGTAAACCCCAAAAAACTTTTTTTTTTTTTCTCTTGGTATTGGCTGTTTTAGTTTGGGAGCATCCGCTGTGGCTGAGCGTAAGGTGAAGTGGAGTATAGTACAGGTGTTGGGGGCGAGAGGGGGGTTGCCTACTAATGCTACTTCTGGGTTTGCCAACAAAAGGCTTCTGGGGAAAAGCACATTGCGTTGAAGCAGGGTTTATACATCGCCTGTTCTTGCGAGCCTCCTAGGTGGAGGTGCACCTGCCAATTATGGTAATTGAGATGTGATTGATCTCCAATTATTATTTTTATGCTTGTCTAAAATGAGGGTGCGTTTTCAGTTGGAAACTTTCTGATAACCATGATTCACCTCTAGGTCTATCGTTGGCGGGGAGCAACGTTACTAAAACACTCGGTTGGGAAACTCGCCGTCGAAACCTGGGCCGCTGGCGTCCACCAAGACCGAGCTAAATACGACAACAGCGCCACTCTTTATCATTTGTCTGTACTGTGGTCACCTTGAGCTTTTACATAGCATATTTTTGTGTCAAAACAAACGGAAAAAACTCTTTGTATGAAATTTATTGGCGTTTAGTACAAAAAGAGGGGCGCGTGATGTTTTTATAATCTTTAGTTTGCAGGGTTTTGCGGAACAATTAATATTGTTTTTATACAACCATGCCTCAGCGGGGCTTTCAGGTAGCGCGTCCCGATCTAGGTGCATTTTAACTGCGGTAGTAGGTCGCGGCGCGTCTGCTGGGGAGATGGGGGTGGCACCCCTGTAACCTCTTCCGCTGTATCTGTTTCGGCGCGAAAATGCCAAATTAAAGCCAAAATAGAAGTAACGTGCAGTTCCTCGAGTGGCCGCTGCGGGAGAAAGTGCGGCGTTGTGTTCCCCATTAGCTTGGTGCTTGAGGACAGATCGGGGCCACTTTTTCAGAGCAGTCTCTATGGCTGCTCTGCACTTTCCCAACTGAGTGGTTCTAGTTACGTTGGTGGGGAGCTTCGAGTTTGGTGCATCTTTGTTAAAGCATATTTGAAAGTCCCGCATTTTTGGTTTCACATTGGCAATGTCCCTTCAGTTGGTAACACCCTATACCCATGGTCAGAGTCTCCCGCTTGCTACTTGCACCTTGTTGGCACAGTGTCGGCTCTTCTCGGCATTTGTTGGCCTAAGTGGAGCGCAAACTGGTGGCACGTAGAAGGTGTGCTGCATTTCTGTTGGGGCAGTCAAGGTCATGGGCTGGAGACATGCTCATCTTGAAGTCGAAACCTTTGAGCACTTTCAAGTTGCACTTCTCTTGGCAACACAAAAAACTAATGCACATGCATCAAGCTTTCCTGGGATGGGGACCCCAATAGAGCTTTCTGCTGTAGTATGCAAGCTTCCAGTTGAAGCTTTGCCCCATTTTAAATGGTGGACATGTTGCTTATCCTCGGTACCATCTGTGTCTTCAGGCAATGACGAATCGAGCACACATTTTTTATGCAAACTTTTGGCAGAAAAAAAAAATTGTTGCATATTCTAGTGACCATTTTATGGGCAGGTGGCAAATTTCTGTCTGCTAAACATTTCCTCGCAATCGAAACATCTTGTACTTGTTTCAAAAGTAATGATGTTGCAAGTCTGCTAAAGACTGTCTTGATGGGCCGAGCCATAGTCTTGCTAGCTGTGTTTTTGATGTAGCTCGGAATTAGATTGATTCCTGGGATTCGTGCTAGGCTTGGCTACAAACACTCTGCGATCCGAGTCTTCCTTGTTCTTTAACAAGTTTCTCTACTATAATGAGTTGTGTGAGTTGCACCTGAAATATATTAAAGCAAATTGGCAATAATCTCAAAGTTGGCTCCATATACAGAATGAGTCTATAATCAGATGTAGAGACAATCAGAGCATTAAAATGTGCCATATATATAAATGCTTTTTCTGGAGATTGTTATTGTCATTGGTTCAATCAAAGCTTGGAATAACAAGGTAGGCAAGTAAACGAAGGAAAGCTTTACTTTGTAGTAGTTCAGCTTTTGCTGCAGGGTAAGATTCCAAAGAACAAAAAGTCAAGTTATTGGATGCTGGTGCTAATTTACTGTAAAAGCAATACGCATTCAGTGCATGGGAGCTCAATCTATTTTGTCTAGAACCTGAACTGGAATGTCAGATCCAGATTTGACTGGGAAATTCTGTCTCAATGGCAGAATTGAAATCTGATTCAAACCTCAATCGGGCCGGATTCTAGCACTCCACTGCGGAGTGCAAGTTCGTCTGTTTTGCAGGTTTCGTGGTGATGTCAGAACGCCTAGCTCTGATTGGCTCTGAATGAGGGATAGTGGGTAGACCTAGAGGCAGCTTGCTTTGAGGTCTACCCACTATCCTTCCATCAGAGCCAATCAGAGCTCTGCATTCTGACGTCACCACAACACCTGCAAAAAAAGCAGACAAACTTGCGCTCCGCTTTAGAACTTAACTCGTTCCCGTTCCAGGCCTAACCATAGCTCGACTCTGGGTAACTGACTCCCTTAGGGTGTTATAGCCAAATTGGTTGTCACATCAGTTTCGCAATTGAGGCTACTTCTCATTCCTCTGCGCCGTTCGTATTGACATTTCACGGGTTTGGCGAAGCTCCATTATGTGCGTGAACATGTCCACTTGATGGCCACTTTGTGCAGCGTGTCTTGAAGGGGCAACAGGATGACGACTCTTGGCTTCGCTTATCGTGACCTAAATGAGGTTCCTCCATGGTCCGTAAGGTAGCGGTGGCATTTGATGCCTCTCAGCTGAAAGCTGGAAGGAAGTCGTGCTTCTTTCACGTCCCAATATTCCAATGCCAACTCTCGCGCTGCCTGAAATGCTTTTTTTTTTTTCTTTCTGGCGTGTAACTTCCAAATCCCTTGTTCCCCATTTAACTGCAGATGAAATCGAGGAACTTCGAGAGAGTTGAAAAGGTAGGTGCTTGTTTCTTTGTCTTCTATGGGATGGAGGATAAGGCAGTTATCGAACTCTTCAACATTCGAGTTTCAGCACATTTGGTCTCGAGATGACGTGTTTTTAACACTACCCCTCTGCCGCATGCTTATCCTACAAACATGAAAGAAATTTATCAATGTTTTGCAGATGTGCTTACGGTGCTTCAGTTTGAGGCACATACATGCTTCTGGAAATAGCAGTTTTTGACCTCTTGTCCGTGTTTCTGGTCCATGTCCTCTTGGTGTTGCCACCTTACTAATAATCGAAAACCAATTACCATCGATGGTGGGAAATGACATTCAGCTGTGCAAACTCGCTGCAGTGCTCTAGGGGAGGTTAATGTCTGCTATTGCTGGAGGTTACACTTTTGCCTTGAAAAACTTGTGGACCAGAGCTTTAGCTCAAGTGCAGAATTTTTGTGGCATTTGATTAAGGGGTCAGGTTGCTACCAGATGCTCGAGAAAAATCAGCATCTTTAATGCGAAACTGCAAAATGTTGCTGCCCTGAATGGCAACAATCATTCCCAGATGAGAAGGTGTTTTTTTACATTTGGAGCAACAGAGGACTAAGCATTCCAGTGTTTCTGGGCGTAAAACCTCAGTACGAATCAAAACCAACTAACCCAACTTGCAGTTTTAACAAATCCAATAACCAGAGTAATAGTCTGATCCTTCGGGGCTTTCCGATTTTAACCCACAATATCTGCCAGCAGAGTGTACGTCTGTCTGTGTTACGTTTAGACAGAACAGTCATATGCTGCTAATCCGTTCTTAAGATCTTTAGGTGTGATTGGCACTCTCCGAAATGTCAGTAATACATGTGGCTGGCCATGCCATTCATAGCATCTTCATTCTCTTTTACCCCGTTTACTTATATGGTTTTGGTGTTGCAACTAGCACCTCTCCGTAAACGAGTTGAACTGTGACACTGGATCGGTGAAGCGACTTGCTCTTTTCCCTGTTCAGTAGGACAGGAATTTTTTTCCCCGAGTTTAACGCTCAACTGGAAATTTCGATGACCAAAAAATATTGGCAAAACTGGCACTTTTTTCGATCCCCGTTTTGCTAATATCTTTTGGTACAACACGTATCTCATCAAACTTTTTTGTATGCGACACGCGTTGGTTTCTAAAGCAAAATTATTTTCTATGTTTGGGGATAGATGGTGCTTCCTCCCATGCGATAAAAAGTGAGAGCGTTTAAAGACGCACTCCCCAAGGCCAACAACTGTCAAAATTGCAGTGTGTCTATAGATGCACTCCCCAGCTAAGGGGTTAATATTTATGTATTGATTAGTTTGGTTATGTGGCTCAAGCGGCAGAAAAGCAGATTGGTACCCTAACGATGATGATAATCTAGCGGTGCTCAAGAATACAGACTAAGAAAAGGAATCGCACAAGACATCACAGGCCGCGCTGAATTACTTTTCATGTTTCTTAGACTTTGCCCTTGAGTGCTGTTGGATTTCCACGTTGTCAATGTGACTAAATGTTGCAACACGCCTCTTTGCTCTAAACATCCCAGAAAACCAGAAATTGCAATCATGCATGGCCTTCTCCATTGTAAAAAACTCATCCAATCATTGCAACACGCCTCCTTTCCCTGCTCTATTTGAGAAAAGCTGGCACACCGCTATGTTTTGTCATTATAGGAAATGGTGTCACGCATGATAGCAATTTTTGTTTTAGGCAGGTCGAGTTTGCGCCATAAAAAGTAGGGTGACCACCTGTCCCGCGACTCGGGACAGTCCCGCATTGAGGGCTCGTGAGCTGTGTCCTGTAAGAGATACCAAAACCTTTAAAATATCCCACATTTCACAGTCGTAAAATTCACTATGCTACTCATGGCGCTGTCAAACAACCGGGCACGGGAAAGCACGGTGGCTGATCATGGGAATTGCAATGTGGGGAGCAATTGTTCTTGCAGAAAATCCGACACGCATGCGCCGTTTGTGCCTCTTCCTTTGGTGTAAAAAAGTTGCAAAAAAAATTGCTCACCAAAAGTTGAAATATAAATTATTGTAATTATTTTCAAATTGTGCTGTGTCAATGTGAAAAAGTTGCTGTGAAGTGTTTTTTTTTTTTTTTTTTTTTTTTTTTAGTGAAGACAGCCACACAAGACAAAAAGCCTGCAACTCAGTGGGGGAAAAAAAAAAAGAGAAGCAATCTAAGGCTCAGAATTTGTGTAGGAGCATGTTGGTAAAAGTAAGTGTTGACAGGAAACAATAAGCCAAAAAAGATATATTTCCTTTTGATGCAACTGAGTTCTGCTGCAGTCAGTTTTAATGTTTTAAACTTAGATATTTAATAACATATTTTTCATTAAAATTAAAAAGAAATCTAACGCTGGGAGTGAAAATTGTTTAAGCTTAACCGCTGCAATACAATATGCAGGTGTATAATATGTGAACAGCAGAGGATTCTAAATATGTTAGCAGATCAACGTTTCGTGGTGTGCGTGTCGAGGAATTTCCTTTAAATGTGTGTCTCTTATTTTTTTTAGTTGCATTTGTGATAATATTGCCCTTCTCTTACCCCCCCCCCCCCCTCCTCCTCTTTCTTCGTTAAAATGTCCCACATTTCGCTAGCAGGAAGGTGGTCACCCTTATAAAAATTTTATCTCAAAGTCCACTTTAGTGCCTGTTTATGCCCATATTTAGGGTTCACGTCTGACGGAAATATAAGAATGGCACAAGATTTTTCTCAGCTGATACATTTTGTTTGATCACGTCCGGTAAAGAGGTAATTTCTTTGAATAGCTGGGAAAGGGAGAGTGTTACATGGAGATAATCTTATGACAGATTTGCTTTACTATTATGATCGCTGCTCAACTGTGCAGCAAAGCAGCAGGCAATCAGCTTGTAACGGTTTTCCATTAAGAACGGTTGGTTTCCCATTGAGATCATGCCAGTTTTGCCCTTAGCATATTCTGAAGGGGTCTCCCTCTCAATTCTGACTGTTAAAGCTGCACAATCTGTAATGTTTCACAGCTAGGGTCCCTCTTTCTCTGTACATAGCGATGAATCCCGAAAAGTAGCCCCCAAGTCTGGTTTGTCAGAATCGGGGTAAACAGAAAACCCCCAAATCGGAGCTGTCCTCAAATAAGATCATTATTAAACATGTCTTTATTAAAACAAAAACCCGAGCTTCGCAATAAATTTCTATCTACAGCTTTATTTTGTGCTCATCCGGTATGCGGCACTCACTGAAATGCTATTTTTTTTTTCTCGTTTGATATTGCCACGAATGACAAGTGATGAGGCAGCGAATGACTGAGTAATCTGAACGTTTAATGGGGGCGAACTTGTGCCCAAAAATAAAAGGAGAAAGAAAGATAACAGCAGAGCGTCGCGGGCGTCGAAGTCGGCGAAGGAGCTGAGTCGAACGCTGGGGAAAAACTGACTCCGGCTTGCCACGCGGAGCCGCTTGTGTACACGCGTGGGCTTCTGGTGCATTCGGCGTAGAAGGTTCGGCGCGTAGAACATTCTAACCTCGAATCAGCAAGGCGATTCTCGAATTCACCAGAACATAACATTACAGTGTCAACAAAAATGTGAAGCCGCGGCCGGAATCGAACCCTGGCCCTTCGCAGGGGAGGCAAGCGCGATAACCGTTGGGCCACGGCCGCGTGCCTACTTGGCGCGCGGCAATATCAAATAGTAATTTCCAAAATCACCAAATCGATAAAAAAAAAGTCCTTCAAACCGTTTTTGAGTTTGAAAAAAATACAAACCTCGAAAATACGGGAATTTCTTTAAAATGCACGGGCAGCTTTTTCTGTCTGCAATCTCCAAAGGGTCGTTCAAACGGGATACAGCGAACGTCGTCGCCGCAAGGAAAGCGTGCACTTCTAAAAAAGTCTGAAAGTTGGAGCATGCGCCTCCATCCTTGATTTGGACATCAAGAACGCAAACGGCACGGATTTCCTTCTATTTTCTAGCCGTCATCTTTTTCCCTTGCCCTTTTTGGGGGGTCGGGGCAGGGGCGGATTGAGAACTCCGTTTTGGGGGGGGGGGGGGGTGCGGAAAATTTGTAAGGATACTATTCTCCCATTCTTCCGTGTGCACTGGGGGTCCGCCCATGTCAAATTGCCCTCCGAGAAGGGGGGGGTCGACTTGTTTGGGGGGAGGAGCGGAAGCCCCCGTCGCCCCCCCATTGGATCCACCCCTGGATCGGGGACTGACAACGGCAAAGGTCTCAATGTTGGCCGGCGGAGTGCGCAATTGGCCATCTGGACGCACCCTCCGAGCCTCTGTCCAAGGATGCAAGCAGAGCAAAGTTTTACCCCCTGCCAATAAAAAAAGAAAATGTGCAAAAGCGGACCGGAGGAAAACCTCCACTTCCGGCACAGCAGATGGCGTGACTGTCGAAAACTTCCGTTCGGATAGCCCGTAGCTATTGCTTGCTGCGAGCAAGTTTTGGCGGAGCGTGGCTGACGGGCCGTGCCCGCTTGCTTCGTCAGCTGTTCCAGAGATGCCTGATGAAGGTGCTCAACATCGACCTCTGGCGCTGCTACCTGACATACGTGAAGGAGACCAAGGGTGCCCTCCCCACCTTCAGGCAAGTCTGGTATACTGGCCACGAGTTGCCCTAACTCGGGCTGTGCGCTAGGCTGAAAGCACAGCTAAGTTGCGCCACCAACTAAGGCTTGTATACAAATAAGTTGCGCTTTGTGCCTAGTTGTAATTAGAACAGCAAAAGTGTACTAGACCCTAAGTTATAGTGGTACTGCATTCCAAGTCTACTAGGACTAAGTTTTGCTGCATACTAAGGTGTAATTGCGACTGTAGTCGGTGATGGGGGCTGTGCTCCAAATCTCGCTCGAATGGATCCGAGTTACTCCGGCGGATCATCTTGCGTGACAAGACGGATGGAGCGACGCTGGACGTGGGAAGGCTCTTGATTGTCAAGTTACAGAACCGTCACCCTAGAGTGAGGTAGATTAAGTTTTGGAACACGGCCAGGTTGAGAAGCTCCGCCTCTGACACACGCTTTTTCCGGGATGTGGCTGCATGCATGCCGAAGCGTTTAGCGAAAACGCAAAGCTCATGCTGGAGGCTGGGCTTCTTCATTCTTAATCGTGCTACTATAGTCGGTGACAGGTCAGGAGTACAGGGGAAGTTGCTCTAGCCTCTTTCCACTTTAGCAGAGTGAATGCTGGAGAGGAGGTTGCCTCCTCTTTAGCGTTTGCTGTACTGAAGTGGAAAGAGGTGGGAGCAGGGGCTTCCCCCAAGCTCTCAACCTGTCGGTCCAGAATTTTCATAAGAAGGAAACGTGCATTGGGATGTTTCTAGCCCTGGGCCCAAGTTGGTAGCCACGATGTCCACTAGAAAAGAGGAAAAATGAGCTAATTACTTAGCTAATCACCTTAAAAGCTTTATTAACTTGCCATAAAATGCCGCAGAAATGCCTGCTTCGTTCAACTGCACCCTCCTAACGTGTTCCACACCTGGGAACTCTGCCAATCGTATGTCAAGCGCCCATTTTGACCGGACAAGGTCAAATCGAGGAGGCAGCAACTTTTAAGTTTGTTTAGACAATGAAGATTGTTACATACTTGACGGTACAATCTGTACTTCATAGTGCCATTTTGAAGTCTATTTTAATTCAGGTCAGGTGTACTTGTAGGGACGTACGGGTCATTTAAATGTGTTTGAGTATATGTGGAGCGCAGGAGCAGCAAGAGTTGTGGTGAAGTCAGAATGCCGAGCTTTGATAGGTTCTGGATGAAGGATGGTGGGTAGACCTCAAGGCAGCTTGCTATGAGGTCTACCCACTATTCTTCAATCAGAGCCGATCAGAGCTAGGCATCTTTCTGACGTCACCACAACTTCTGCGCAAGAAACAGACAACTTGGTTGCTTCATAGGTTTGGTGCCACTTTTCTCTACATGTTCTCAAGATGTGCTTTGGGTACCAATGCAGTGACTACTTTGAAAAACGAGATATTGCATGCATAGTGGTAGAAGGGAATTGAGTTCTACCTTGTTTCAACTACGTGCTCCAATCTGTCTCACTGGCTCTTCGTTCCGTTTCAGGGAAAAGATGGCCCAGGCGTACGACTTTGCCCTGGACAAGATGGGCATGGACATCCTCTCGTTTCCTGTCTGGAACGACTACATCAACTTCCTCAAGAGCGTGTGAGTGTTCTCCATTGGACAGTTTCATAGCCGAATGGATCTAGTAATGTTGAATTCCAGTCGTTGCAGTTTGCCATTACTTGTAGTAGCAGTATGTCCAGTAACCCTACAAGCAGTGATCTTGTGCCATGTTTGCGGAACAAACAGGGAGGCGGTGGGTTCGTACGCGGAGAACCAGCGCATCACGGCGGTCCGCAAGGTGTACCAGCGTGGCATTGTCAACCCCATGATGAACATCGAGCAGCTCTGGAAGGAGTACATCAACTACGAACAGGCGAGTCTGGAGCCTTTAAAACAGCTGCGCAGGACTCTGGCTATTCTACTAAGCTAAGTCACTATATTTCTTGAACCCCCACCTTGGCCTTTTCCGGTGCGCCGTTCATTATTGGGAAATTCGGGATAGTTGTTCAGTCGGCGAATGCAGGTGATGCCAAAACCGGCGTTCAAATATGCTATCGGCAACAAAATGAAAGGGAACAGCTTTCTTCGCTCCAGTTTCACGGCTCCCAGACCTTTCGTTAAACCTCAACCTGTCAAACAGTATGTAGTTTGGGACCTAAACTTTACGTTCTAGCCCTCGTCGGGACCATAACACGGTGCGTAAAAAAAAGACGAGCAAGTCTATTCCTTTCCGTATTGTTGCCTATAGTACCCGCACTGTCCAGTGCTGTGACGTCACTGGCATGCGGGCTTGCAAATCGAGCAGGCCTAATTTTGGGGGGTTCTAGTTCATCTGTGGTTGTTTGTGTCCATTGTCGATTTCGAGGGAAATTAGGGACCATGAAGAAAATGCCGGAGTACTCCTTACAGGGGCGAGATCGTCTATTTGTGATGATAACGCAATCTACAGTCTCTAAGCATCCTGAGAAGTCGGAAACTACACTTGTCGGGGGTCAATTTCCCTATTAAAAATAGAATTAAAGATCGTGACATGCCTCTCTTTCTGCACCTTGGCATCGGGGTGCTGTCGGATGGCGTTTTCAAGTAACAATTGCTGCATTACGTCTCCTACATCAAAAGATTTGACATTTTTGTCAAGCTATAACGCACAACATGCCAAGAAAAGAGCAATAATAGTAACGTTTGGAATCTCCATGCAATTAACCCTTTGCCTACTCATTTTTAAAGCAAAAGCCTTAAAGGGATACTTCAACGAAATTTGAGATATTCCCGTCGTGTTCAAAAATAGGTTGAATATGATCCACAATATCCGTAAATGACAATCGCACGTTTGTATCTTGAGCCTGGTGGCTGTATTTTTCGTTAAAAACGGCCCACTCTGGCAAGTGCTCGGAGAAGGTTTAGCGGAGACCACGTGACATCCGACGCAATCGTGACGTAGGTCGTCTCGGGACGAGCAAAGCTACGGCGAGGCTGACGTCGAGAGGATGGCCTAGTCGTTTCAGCCACCGAAGCGGCTGCTTTTGTATGAATTTTGAGTGACGGGTTAATCTTCTGTAATCTTGTAGGGAGACAATAGCGACTTCTGCGACACACAAAAGGCATTCTCGGGAAGAGGGGAGTTGCTCCTTCCCCCCTTCTCTCGTCGTGGCCGGAGGCGAGACAACCTCCGTCACTAGCTGTCAATGTTGCTAGACGGGCATTACAAGCGAGGCGTTAGCGACATCCACCAGGTGCTCTTTGCTAATCATTTTAAAATTCCTTTTCGTGACTTTTTTAACAAGATATTGGTATGTCTTATGTGATACTGCTCCTTTGAACACATATAGACCAAAAAATGAGGGCTGAAATTTCGTTGTAGTATCCCTTTAACTGTCTCATGGAGCGAGCTGCGCCTAACGGCACCTTAAATATTTTCTCCAAGTGAAGCCAGCTCCAGGCTATGAAACCACACGAAAAGCCAAGCCTAGACAACAGCTTCGGTTCCATTGGCTGGTGCGTGTCAATGAGGATCCCATTGGCCACTGCGTGTCAGTTTCAACGACCGCTCACCCCATGGTGGTGCGTGTCCGTCAGCGCGCCTCTAACATGGAGCGTCCAAGGTCAGTGCGCATGCTGACCGGCGACAAGAAGTATGCAGCAGACGAAATAAGGTAGCGGACAAGTGGCTTGCATACTTTCGCATTCACAACTCATAAGAAGTGCTTAGGTGTACCTCGAGCTTTTTTTCTTCGAGGAACATAATAGCAATATTTTATTTTAAACAGTCAATTTGCATTAAAATAAGACAAAAACATTTTGTACGGTCGCCTGCGTGGCGCTGTCTGTTGGTTAGGAGGAGACCGAGACTGGATGCCTTTCGTTCTCGTAGGGCATCAACCTGCTGATTGCGGAGAAGATGATCTCGGACCGGAGCCGGGAGTACATGAACGCTCGCCGGGTGGCAAAGGAGTATGAGGCCGTAACGCGCGGCCTCAACAAGAACTCGCCCTCGGTGCCGCCTCAGGGCACGCCCGAGGAGGCCAAACAGGTGGGTGCCCCCGTGACCACTGGAACGTCCAAACGAAATCCCACACTTTAAGTTACTTTAAGCTCTAGGAGAAAATGTTATCCCTGAGGCACTCTGAATGCGTACCACTTATTGGGTACTATGCATTTAGAGTGAGGTCACATGACCATCAGAAAAGCTTGCGGTCGTGTAACCTTACATCAGGTGACATCTGTTGTTGTGATGTCACGGTGTCGTGTGAGGATCGTCGTGCCGATGGTGTAGTGGTGAACCTTTTAAAATGCCGACCACGCCCGGGGACATTGTGTCGTCATCTGATTGACGTCGCTATTGAGGCTGCATGCCAAAGACGTGAACACGCTGAGAGCTGGCCCTTTAAATGCAAAGAGAAAGAACTACTGACAAACAAGATGTGTTCATAAATACTTTTGCTAGGTTTACTCTAATCCAGTGGTTCTGAACCACTGATGTTTCGCAGACCTTTTGTAGATCGGCGGAGATAATAAAAAACCCTGTTGCTGTAAAAAAAAAAAAAAAATTAATGGCATTTTGTAGTTTCTGTAGTTCTGTTTCCGGACGAGAGCCCTAAATACTTCGGGATCAGTTGGACGGTGCTATCAACTACTTGAGGAAAAGTGCATTTAAAGCTAGTGGATAGCTTTGTCACCGCCCACATACTATTACAACAACAGACCGTAAAGATTAGCAATTGGTCATTTGGTTTGCCTTCATTCCGTTTTGCTTTCCCTCGTGCGAAATCTGGGTATCAAAGATTGAATTGCATTGTGGCCAACTACGCCGACGGATTTGTATCACCTTGCGTCTTTTCTCAAACGTTCCTTTTTGCATTTTGGTTCCTCCAAAGTGTCAGTGCAGAACTCTTGTTTGTATGCAGGTGGAGCTGTGGAAGAAGTACATCTCCTGGGAGAAGGGGAACCCGCTTCGCACAGAAGACCACGCCCTCATCACGAAACGAGGTGAGTGGATTGGACGCGCCAACAGCGCTGCCACTAAATGTCAATGCGAATGAAAAGCCTGCACACAAGCTCTTCTTCCCTGTGTCTCTCGTGATTACGTGCCAACATGCTCATGTAGACCGTCGTCTTCATTCGCACAAATTCACGGCAGTCATAGATTCATTTAAAAAATAGTGATGTTGCATAAAACATCTTCAGTTACTAAGTGCTTCCAGTTTTGAAACAGCGCTTTTAATGGGCCGGTTTCCTAAGTTGAGAGCATCACCAAGAGCTGTTACAAAAACATGATAACAGGGCCATCGCGTCTCTACAAGAATCTCTTTGTACCTTCTTAAGAATTTAACCCCGAACCCCTCAGTTCGATGCTGTTTCCCTGTACAACAGAGTGGCCCTGCATTAGTGTTGTTACAAGGCAACTGCTATATTCCTGCGCTGCCGGCAAAAAAAAAAAAAAAAAAAGATTGTTGCCCCAATGTTTGCAGGGTTTATGCGATGTCACAATATCATGTATTCACTATAGGTCACATGATCACATAATCACTACGAGTTAGGTGATCATGTGAACTATAGTTACACAATCGTGCGACTGCTATAGGTGTCACGTGGCCCACCAGAGTTAGTACGTGGTCCTGTCACCTTATCACCTTATGTACATATCAGTGACGGCTTCGCATGGTTTCATTGTAATACCGTAGTGTCGCATAACACCCTTATGTCACGCGACACAGTCATGTTATGCGAAGTCGTGACGTCGCACGACCTGCCTTTGACGTCTTATGTGCGCTGTGAGCTAAATTGGGTGGGAGATGCATCCTGTGCATTTCTGACCTTATATGTGGGATCAAAATATTTTTGCAATCACCCGCCGTCGTATCTGCTCGCTGACACTGCCACTCCCCTCTTGGCTGCAGTGATGTTTGCGTACGAGCAGTGCCTGCTCTGCCTGGGGCACCACCCGGACGTGTGGTACGAGGCAGCGCTGTTCCTCGAGCAGTCGAGCAAGCTGCTCACGGACAAGGGGGACCTCAACGCGGGGAAGCTGTTCTCGGACGAGGCCGCGGCGGTCTACGAGCGTGCAACCACCACGCTACTCCGCAAGAACACCCTGCTCTACTTCGCCTACGCCGACTTCGAAGAGGTGGGTTTTGTCGGGAGCTTTACTCTCGTACGCTCGAAGGGTTTGCTTCTACAGACCGTTCCGCTAAGGACTCTCTGGGCGATGCCATTCTGTTTGACTGCAGCGACATTTCCTTGCTCCGCTAATGTGAAAAGAGCGAAGTACTTTGCGGGAGGAGTTTGTCCCTCTTTCCCGAACGGACTATGTAGTGCATATTTATTTATGTTGTTTGCCTTCCATTGTATCTCTGCTACATTTTTTATCCTTCAGTTTGTTCTCTGCACTAAGCTTCACATTTGCGGTCTATTTGGGTGTGGTGTGGACTGTACCGTAATGGGCAGCCTAGGTAAGATATCCGATCCTAGAGCTTGTAGACCTGGGCCTGTAGCCGATGGTTTACGGCCTATGGAAGGAGGTGGAGAAGTATTGCTAGGAATGGGGAATGAAGATTCCGATCGGTCATTGATTGCTGATAAGATTGGCAGCAGGACTTTGGGTTTGATGAGTCACCTTGTTGGATCACTAATGAGATTCTGATCATGATATGACAGCTGCCACATTAACCTTTTACATGGGGTTGCTCGGTGCTTTTGTTTTGAGTGATTGTGCAATTGCACGCCGCACTTTGTCAGACATTGAAGGCACTACGAGAAGCTTAGGCTGAATGTATTCTTTCCTTTCAGAGCCGGATGAAGCACGACAAGGTGCACCAGATCTACAACAAGTTCATCGAGATCCCCGACATCGACCCCACTTTGGTAAGCCGAGTTAGAGAAGGCGCTGCCTTGCCGTGCATCGCAAAATTTATCCATCGAGTCTGAATTGCTAGAAATAAACAAAATAAATGCCTTGGGTAAGATATCTGCAATCTGCATCCATTTCAACTTATTCATCTTGGAGCTTTTTTTTTCGTTGAGGTATTCTTGCTGTCCTCGAAAAAAGTGCCTTTGCCAATAATTCTGGCTTGCTTTTGGGCTCATGAGGCTTTGATGCTCAAAGTTTTGAAAGAGTTCTATCACAGTGTGAGTATTTGGAATGGGAATCATAGTTTCTAGATAGTCTTCTTGCTTTCTTTTCTTTTTCTTAACTTCTTAGCTGTTTTGGATGGGCCTAGCTCGTCGACAGGGGTTCGTCCCGAAACCATCCAGGACGAGTATAGCTCGCCCGCTTTCCTTGGTTCACACATTCAGCCGTTTTGACTTAGTTTGTGGCTCTGCCAACAGATGGCTGCACAGATGTTTTTAAGAGTTGTCTCCCATTCTGTTTGTTGCTAGAAATTTGGGTGTGAAGGTAAAATTGATTCTGAGGACAACAATTAAGCAGTTGAGGTTAGAAATGCTAAGAAACCGAAAATATTTAAGGGATTAAAGAGTATTCTGAAGATGGTTGCTAAGCAAACTTTTCTCACAGTTGTCTCTATTCTAGATAAAAATGAGGCACGTATCAATCAACAATTAAGGCAGAGAATTTTTTTTAACAGTTTAATTGAGGCCTCCTTTCCTGGTCTCTTTTGACAGTCAGAGATGCAAACTTGTTTTCTCGGAAACATGCGTTGATAGAGCACAAGACAGAAACAGTGTAGCAGATTCATTCAGATACTTGTCATGTTTGCTTAAAAATATACTAATAAACATAAATTTCTTCTGATTTGTGGACCTGCTTTATATTTTTAAATTATTATTTTTTTTTTTTTTTTTTCATTTTTTTGTGGGCATTGCAGGCCACAGTACTAGATGACCTCAGTCGTGGGCTTTCCCACAGACGTTTAATGGAGAGTGTGGTTCAAAATACTACTGTTAAACTGTAGGGGTTTCTTTGTCAGTAACTCGGTGAATCTACCATAAATGTGTCGCGGGTGTGGTGACGCTTCATTCTGCAACTTCAGCAGGTGAGGATTTTAAACATGTTTTGATACCAACAACAGTACAAAGTATGTGCTTGACGAAATTAGCAATTTTTCAAAACAGAATGTTGGAGGTAACTGCTTTATACATTTTGAATACGGTTTGTGGTCCAAAAGCACGAAGCAGGCTATCCGATGATGTGATGTCTCCTAATAAGGAATGTGCACGCTCCCACATACAGCTGAGCCCTTTAGACTGGGCAGCATGTACATCTTGATCAAGTGATATATATCTAATCTAAAATGCACCTACATATACCTTAATTCTCTACATAAAGGGTGAAATTAGTAGTGCCCTGTGAGGAGCCAGACTTTCTTTACTGCGGTTCTCGATGTGAAAACAAGTATAGTATCTCTTGTGACCTCGAAATCACTCTCGAAGTTAAGTTTGTCGCCGGGCGAGATGGCCGCCTGCGGCGGCAAACCGGCCGTAGCTGGCATTTCGGTATCTTCTCATTGCGCGCAATCTCTCCGTCTTGGTTGCAGGCCTACATCCAGTACATGAAGTTTGCACGGCGAGCGGAAGGTATCAAGGCGGCCCGGATCGTCTTCAAGAAGGGCAGGGAGGACGCCCGCACCAGCCACCAGGTGTACGTGGCAGCGGCGCTCATGGAGTACTACTGCAGCAAGGTAGTACATACCACTGCTGCCTAACTTGTCTGCTGCCGCAGTCTGTTTGCTAAAGCAAATCCGTCTGCTACCCCAAATCCGTCTTCTACTGCAAATCTGTTTGCTAACGCAAATCTGTCTGATACTGCAACTCCATCTGCTACTGCAAATCCCTCTGCTGCCTCAAATCCATCTGCTACCGCAGATCCTTCCGATACTGCAACTCTGTCTGTAACTGCAAATAAAAAACCAAAAAAATTCACCCTTTGTATTTTTTTTATTCACATTTTTGGCAGCATGCTAGGCGACATCTTGGATTTGGGTTGAAATGTTACAAAGTTCCTTGCGTAGGGCGGCAATTGTGTCATCTGCTTTTCCTGCTGGATTGGCAAGGCGACCGAAATGAAAATATTGTACAGTCAAAGGAACACCATATATGGCAGCTCCGGGTTGTACCAGAGCTTATTAGACCGAATTTGCTCGTGCGCGTAATTGAGGATAGTTGTTGTTTCCCAAAGCATTAGTAAGCGTTAGAGTCTAAATAAGAGCTCTGGTAATGCTACCGCATAAGGACGCCCAGGACCATAGATTTTCCCGATCGCCGAGACTTGGCTGAAATTGTCGGCCAACCATAGTTGACTGCTCCGAAGCAGATTGATTGACTGTTTCAATGACGACTCCCTGCGTTTCCAGGAGAAAACTGTGGCCTTCAAGATTTTTGAACTGGGTCTGAAGAAGTATGGCGACAACTCGGACTACATCTTGGCATACGTCGACTACCTGTCGCACCTCAACGGTGAGAGTTGATTTACCTTCCCTCCGGCCTTGCCGAACAAACTCATTAATGTGAAAAATGTGTTCAGAACAACGGTAGCCGGTTATACCGCTTGAAATTGGCCGTAGCTGCCGACTTAGTATCTATTTCGTTGTACAATGTGCATTGGTTTGTGCAAACACTGCATGTTGTATGGCTGGCCCCTACCCACTTCCCGAAACTCACCCTGGTGGTGGAGGATTTGCACGAGTAGTGTGTCAGTGTTTGACTGTAACTCATCTCCTTGCCGATTGAGCACGAGTTTGGGGGTCTTTTTTCGTCAAGAAATCGTTTTAGAGCGCAACTCTGGGGTGCTTGTTTCCGGCTTGAGTGGCGTCGCCGTTGGCGTAACCGTGAAGTCACGTGACCCCCCGTGAGGTCACGTGACCCCAGTGACATCACGTGACTCCTGTGAGGTCACGTGACCCCGGTGACGTCACGTGACTCCTGTGAGGTCACGGGACCCCGGTGACATCACGTGACCTCGCAGTTACGCCGACATCGCTCAGAGGGAGGAGCAGCAGGCAGGATGAGGAGGTGAGGAGGAGAGAGGAGGGATACACGTTCCCCTCAGTACACATCCCTCCTCCTCCTCAAGAGCTGCGCTCTAATTCGGTGTTACAGGGGGTTGTAAGCGACTTTCATTTTGAACTCGGTAACTAACTAAACGTTGGGTTGTGAAGCTGCAAAAACAGACCTGTTGCCGCCAGTTTCGACTGCTTATTGACCCGACTTGGGTGACGAAACCTTGCCGTCTTGTCACCTCAGCTGGCTGCATTACGCACTGGTGGGATTCCAAGCTCTTGTCGACGTGCAGTATATCTATGCGTCGCCAAAACGCTCGGTCAGCTCTTGCTGTAGAAGCCCGCTCGCACACTTGTGTCTGCTTACGACCAAGTCCATGCAATCTTTTACAATGAGGGAAGGCGCTGGCACGCCAGTGCCGTCCGTCTACACGGTGGCCCTGAAACTGCATTTCACCGAAGGCTCGGCGGCATTTGCGAGATCAAATGTACGTACCATCTACGATACGTGGTTGTTTAGGAGACAGTCATAAGCAGTCTCAAGTGTGCGAACCAGCTGTAAAGAGGCGGTGCAACGAGTTACGTATTTCGTGCAAATACCCGAAACTATGGTGCCTGGAGCGCGTCTTCGACTGGTGTGTTTAGCGTCCTATCCCGCCCATACATCAAAAGTGGTCCCGATGTGGCAACAAATGACGCGAGTGTCATGCTGTTGCCTGTCGCGATCCTGGCGGTTGGCCGTAGAAATGCTGGCAAAAAGCACGAGCGAACGCGAGTGTCGCTGTCGTCACGGCGTCCCGTTAGGCGTCCCAACTTCCGGCTGCACGAGCTTCCGTGAACTGTCACAGTGGAAAGCGACCTGCAGCAGAACAGGCATCTGCTACATGCACCATAACTGTTGGGACGCCACCAGGGTCGCGACCGGCGACAGCATGACACTTGTATGACGTCATCAGGCGGAAATCAAGGGACCACTTTTTTGGCCGCGGTAAACACACCAGTCGGAGACGCGTTCCAGGCACCATACCGAAACCGCAACGTTTACAACCCATGAAATGGGCATGAGTTTTTTTTTCCGCGCAGTGGTAGTCACGGATAGAGTTAAAGAAAAACAAACGGCGTTCGCCCTCAACTTGCAGCCGGAACGAGTGACCACGTGGTCTGGAGCTGATTGTGAGCCTCCCAACGTTTATTGCTGGCCGCGCTCCGGGGTTTCTAAGTGCGTTGCGAGCGCCAAGTCCCACGCATTGTTAGGGTTCGGCCATTCTCGTCGTTGCAATGATCGAACACGGGTGACTACCCGAACGCTTTTCGAGCTATCGATTGTGGCGCGCCCAAATCGAGCTCTCACGCATTGCTCGAGTCCAATCTATGAGCCGCATTCAAGAATTGTCACTCGGGGGACTGCCACGTCATCGAGTTTTGCGAAGGAGGGATTGAGGGAAAACGCTCGCTTTTATCCCTGAAAATACACCGCAACAAAGGAGTTTCTTGGTCTGTGGCGTTGCGCGCGAGTATACTTAAGTCCCGCTAGGGCTGGTGAGCTAACGTAAAGTGATGGACATTTTAAATAATATCATTGCACTCCCCCTTGAAGATTTGGGAATGTAAAGCTTGAGCTTGTTCCACGCAGAGGACAACAACACCAGGGTCCTGTTTGAGCGAGTCCTGACCTCAGGCTCCCTGCCTCCGGAGAAGTCAGTGTGAGTGTGGGCACCCCAAATGCTTTCGGTCTTCCTGTCGGAAGCTAATTACTTCCATTCTCCTTTTGTTTTTATAAGCACATTTTTTTGGGGCCCAGTATCTGGTGCCGTCGGTGCTGACGGTCAAGGGGGACCTGTCCTGGCAAGGTTTGCGCCACGCGAAAAACAAAATCCGAGATAGATTGCCAGATTTAACTCTCGCGTAGGGCCACGGCTTTCCTCGAATTTTGCTGTGAAACGAAGCGTTTGTTCTTTGAACAGGAGCCGAGTTTTGAACTCAAACAAACACCCATCAAGGTGGCAATGTTTGAAAAAAAAAAATATCTGCAATGTCATTTGTTACATTGCTTTCTTTCTTTCTTCTCCCGCTTTGATTTTCACTGAAAGCGAATTTTCACTGAATGCCCGGATTGAGCGAAGACTGGCTATGCTCTGTAGCAAAAAGAGAAAGTGAGAGCGATTGTAGAGAGTGCAGTGTGGGGGTGGGCCACCGTCGAGTTAATATAATAATCTAGATGAAAAGGTCCCCTCCATTGGGATTGCTTGGGAACGGTGGGACGTGGGTGCGGACATCGGCAGTACCAGATGGTAGTCTCGACCTGCCCAAATCGCTGGCAATGCCTTAATATGCTCAAAGAAGCAAAACATCGCCTCTAAGCTCTGTTGTACCTTGTTCTTTTTTAGCTTATTCTGCTGGAAGACACCGGAATCGTGCATGGTATAGAAATAAATAAGGTTGACGAGCGCTCAAACAACTTCAGCTCATCGCAGCAATACGAGCACACTTAACCTTTCGTCTGCTTCATCTTTCTCCCCTATTCCATCGCCTTCTTTCTCATTCTTTCTCTCTGAACTGCCGATGTTGGCACCCGGGATTTGCTGTGTTCTGTTCCCGTCTTTACCCTTGTGTGGAGCGCTCACCGCCGGATTGGATTGGATTATGATGGATCTACGTTTTCTTTCGGACGTTAACCATTTTAAAAAAGAAACCACCTAAATCAAGACGAAGAAGAAAAAAAAGAATTAACAATTGTTTGTTTAGGATATGGGAGTTGTAAAATATTGCAAAGTTAATCTCATAATTAGTAAAACTTTCAAAACAACATAATATTAATAATAAAACTCAGTGTATATTGATTGTCTGTGAACTTCACGTTTCAAGGATACATTGTATATGACTTCCTTATTTTTGTGTTATGACCCTGCCAAGAAACACCGACGCCTTATGTATGCTTGCCGAAATTTTTGCTAAAACACGGTCTAATAATAACTAGAGCCACTGAATGTTCCGAGAGTATCGCATTTCATAGCATTCGTTTGGCCATAAGTAATGACCCGCTTCGGTTTTTCGGCCAAAGTAGGACGTTGACGGCAAACATCGGTATTGGTTATCGGCCGTGTCGGCACCAGCAGAGAAGACGAGAATCGTGCGTTTCTCATTGTTTCAAGACAATAAATAATGTTTCTGGGGTCTGAGAGCCTCTGCAAGTCATCAATCTTTTGTCCTCTAAAAGGTCTTAACTTTGGGAGCCTGTACTCCATCTCACAAACATCTGCTTTGCAGACTTAGGCATGGGCACGACTACGCGGCTTCAAAGAGTGCCTCCCACGCACAAGCTTTTGTACAAATAAGAACATTCTGCTGAGCTATAGTCGGTGAAGGGTTGAGAGTTCAAGAGAAGCTCCTGCGCCTTTGTCTTTACCGCAGACATTTGTGAGGTGGAGTATGTTTGTGGGTGTTGCAAAATGACCGGTAGAGCGTTGCAAACTTCCAGTCTTCCCCGTTTCGTGCAACGTTGCAACCATCGTCTGTCGCCGCAGCGAAATCTGGAACAGGTTCCTGGAGTTTGAGTCCAACATCGGCGACCTCTCGAGCATCCTCAAGGTCGAGAAGCGGAGGGCGGCCACCATCGAGAAGGTGAGCTTGCGTCAAGGAAACGGCAAAAAAACAAAATAGAGTTTGTACTAGTAGCTTGTGGGAAGAGTGCACTTTAGACAGTCCTTCCTAGTTTTTTTTTTTTTCGTTGCTTTGCTGCTGCAATCAATGTTGCTGGGTTTTTTTGTTTTTTTTTATTGGTTTGAAGCTTTGCATGCTTGCTGTCCTGCGCTTGCTCCGTTTCTTGAGATTTGTTTTCCAATGCTGTGGTGGTTGGGTGGCTCCAATTGGCCGGTGGTGGTTTGCGCTTTTTTTCTGTGTGTCCTTTTTTATTTGCTCGTAGTAGTTTCAACGCTATGATTAGTTTCTGGCGCGAGCTCTTTAAAATTAACCCTACCTTTTAACCCCTTTTTGGTTATGTAGCTAGTAGATATTTTTTGTTTTTGCTTTGCTGCTTTTATTTATTAGTTTATAAGGCTCGCTTAATAATCTTCAGTTACACTAAATGTAAATTCATTCTCATTTTAATTTTTTTTTTTTTTTTCGGCTAATTTTTAGTTTTTTTGCTTGAAAGCCGTTTGTTTTTAGAGCGAGCATTTTTGGCACCGTGAGCCAATTCATGACTGCTGTTCCAGGAAACAAATTTTTATAATCACCTGCCAAAGCCGGTCTTGCAAATATATTGAATATGGATGTACCTGGCTTCTATAACGAACACACTGTAATCAAAATGATGAAGTTGAATAAATACATTTTTTTTCGTTTGTGGTGTTGGTGCCTGTACGCTTTTTAGACGCCAGGTATGGATTACTAACTTCCTTCATGTCCCCCCTATGCATGTGCTCATTTGCTTTGTAACACGGCCTGAATTCTTACAACAAAAGTAGGGAATTTTGTCCAAGTAATTCACATTCACATTCATCATACAGTTTTTGACTGCAACGATGTAATCTAACGGTATGTATAATTTATGTGCAATCTTGCAAGGAGTAGGTATGGGATCACATGGGAAGCACACCTTGAGTTACTTAGTGCAAGGTGTGTTTACAACCATTGAATTTTCGATGTCATTGGTCAACTCTGAACTCGTAATTTGTTGAGCGCGGATCTGGCTTCATTTCTGTGTACTAAAACTTGCACATGATTGGTTGGTTCTAATACTAAGGCATAGTGCGTGGAGCGAAGAAACGGCAGTTAACTTCTGACGCCGTGGCTGTGGGGCCAGGGTTCTGGACTAGGTGCACATGACAAGTGCAGTTGCGTGCCAAGCCAGGGATAGAAAGTGTTGCGACTCTAGATTGTTCTAGTCTTAACTGGACAGAACAGAGTGTAGTAGGGATTTTTCGAAATTATTGTAGGAAGAACTGTAAACAACTAAACTTGAAGTGGATGTACATTCAGAGAGGACCCTGTTGAGGTTTTGGTGTGAAATAAAAAATATTTTAATGCACTCCTCCTAAGTTTGACTGCTTCACTTTCTATCGTGGACATACTGCTTGCTGTGCTCTGTGACCTTCGCTTTCTTTTTTGCTTGCTCTGCTAACATGTTTTGACGCAGCACTGTCAGGGGCCTGCTCTTGATGGGGATCTCTTGCAAACTTTTAAAGCTGGTTCAGACATTTTTGTTCTTCACACATAATTTTTAGAGCGCAGCTTTTGGGCGCCCGTTTCGGGCTTGAGCGTCGTCGGTGACGTCACCACACGTTGCATTATGGGACATTTCCCATAATGACGTCGCAAGTGTTACCCTCGTCAGGGTTATAAGCGTTACCCTCACGAGGGTAATCGTGTGACGTTACCCTCGTGACGTCACACGTGACGGTCATTATAGGAAACACGTGACGTAGGATGTCACGTGTGATGTCACGTGACGTGTGACGTCACACGCATCTAACATTGCCAATGTTCTCGCTAAATTTAGTGGGGATATTTTTCCACTAAATTTGTCCAAAAAATATTTACGCTAAATTTACCGCCGTGACTTCACGTGCGACGTCACGGGGGTAGAAACTTCCATCTAAATTTACGGGAAACATTTTCCCGCTAAATTTAGCGGGGAAGGAAGAGGTGCATACCCTCTCCTCCTTCTCAAGAGCTGCACTCTAATTTGGCGTTACAGAAAATTATAAACATCTTTCATTTTTTTCGCTATGTGCTTGAACTAATTTTGTCGATGCGATAAGCTTATAAACGAGATTAGTATGTAGATTTCATATTGCAAATACCACAAAATCTTGGGTCTAGTTCAGGACTGGGCCCGAGCTACCCAACAGGTATAATATTACCTCACTGCAAGCAGTTGTGAGCAGTTGTAACACAGTCGGTCAGACTTGGGACGAAAATGTCTAAACCAGTTGTAATGTTGCAACGGACTTAGGTTTGTTGCTAACTGGTGCAGTGCTAGATGAATTCGATTGGCTTTTGGGTGACAAACCAATAATGCAATAAATTGTATCGGGCAGCTTCGAGAGAGGTTAATAGTGTAACCGTAACAAAGTGTGTGCTTTGTGCGAGGTTATACAGACTTGGCTACAAATCACAAGATCCCAGCGTGACAAGATTTCTCCTAACTGACCCCAAACGCTTTGCTTGCCTACCTGCTGCCCTTCTGCATGGTTGGAAGGAGGTGCTTTATTAACGGTGTTGAGTGACACCGGTTTGAAAAACATTGTAAAGCGCTGCTGCAGTTCCAGTGTTGCATGATGGAAGCCCCCTGATTGGCTATCCTTTAGTTTTATCCCTGCCCTCTCCCTCTTCCCCCTCCCCCTCCTTTTCTTTTTTGTTGCAGATGATTCTCGATCACCCCGGGAAGGTAATGCCCCTCAGCTTCGTTTAGAGCACATGACAACCCATGCATGTTTTGCAGAGCGAGAAAAAAAGCGCAGCAAGCAGAGTGCAGCAAGCAGTTTTTTTTCCTCGAAAAGTGCAAACTTCAGAATAAAATGGCATTATAGTCATATTCAGTATAAGAAGATGGATTGCTACATCAGAGCAACCAGATATGTCCATACAGCCCTAGAAAAAAACATGCTAATCAACCAGGCAATCAGTCAGTCACTCACTTGTACTTATGAAACATTTGGCACGAAGCTTTGCATCAGTCCAATTAGACTGGCATTAAATTTTGGCAGTATTTTAGTCATTCTGGTTGATGCTGCAATGTTGAAGCTGTTCGACCTCTGTTGCACAACGGTTGAGGAGTCTCAACACTGCCTTGCCGGTACGTTCCAATTTAACGAGGGTGGACGCGACACCTTGATGTGTTTGGGTATTACCTGAGGGGTTACGGGTGGCGTTGTTCATGGGGGGGATCTCTAATAGATTGGAGTGAAGCAGTGAATCATTTGCCAAATTTCCAAGCATCGGGGAGCAGGCTGCGAGAGTCGTTACACATGCTGCACGTACCGGAATCTGCAGCAGTACTTATCAAAGTAAAAATTCAAAGGATATGGCAGTTTGCACATGCACTTGTCATTGCCTTGTTTCACTCGTTTCCTTTGAATCTCTCATGGAGACGAGGCAAGTGCATGCAGTGCACATAACTACATTCCCATCACGCTCCTTGGTGTGTGGCGATTTCGTAAATGGTCTATGCGGTGCCCGTTGTTACATTAAAGAGTGTGGGTGGGAACATCCGTGGGTTCCAGTTAATACTTCGATGTAAAGGTCAAACGTCACATACAGTTGCGGACGGTGACGGACGGCACCCCAGGGCACAACACCGAGAAAATAAAAATATCTGAGGGTGCCTGATTTCTTTGATCTAGCTGAGGTGCACAGTGAGGCAAAATATTTTGTGCTTGTTATGTTTTCAGATGTAACACGTTATTGTTAATTTCACCTAGTTTAGGGGGGAAATTGAGCCAGTGTGTAATTCAACACCGGTTCAGGTTTCCCCCCTAAATTTAGCGGGGAAATTGTACGTCACACTTTTGTTTTACGTGTCTCTCTTATGAAACCTTAGTCCTATGTGAGTTCGGGATAAAAAAAAGCACAAAAACGGTACACAGACGGGTTACACGACGCACTCTGGGCACCATTGCTTTGAAACTTTTTCGAGGGTTCGGCGGCTCGTGTTTCGTCTTTGGAGTTGCTTGCAGCCAACGTGTCCCATGTCGATCCCTCCTCTTCTCTCTCTTTTTCTCCTCCTTCACCCTCTCCTTCCTTCCTCCACCTTTCTCGGTATACCCGCTTGCGCAGCTGAAGGAATTCGAGGGCAAGGAGACGGCACTACTGGTGGACCGGTACCGGTTCATGGACCTCTACCCCTGCAGCTCCCAGGAGCTCAAGTCCCTCGGATATCGGGTAACGGCACACCACTCTTCCCACTCCCTGCCCAGTCGAGTTCTTGAGGGACATTTTCGCGACGGTAATAGGAAGCCGCCAGAACCGTCAGAAAGTTAAGCAGACGCGTGGACAACCTTGGAAATTACAGTGATGCTTACCGACAACCATCTGTTAAGCAATGCCTCTAACATCATTTGAAGTGTCCCCAGAGCTCTTGCGGTCTAAAAAATATGCCACAATGCAGTTGAATTTTGTAAAGAATGCCATCTTTGTTACGAAGACTGGTGCACGCAGTTAGCCATGTTAGACAAGTGCAACCACTGTTCCCACGACTATTTTTGACAGCCTACCAGTTCGTGATAAAGCTTAAACCCACGTTGAAACCGAAACTAGAGTTCTTTGGCTATCCACGAGATTGTGGAACATAATTCTCCGCACACTAAATTTAGTTTCTTGACAACACTTGGAAACCATCGGTCACCGATGGTCAATGGCCTACGGGTGCGGTCAGGAAAGAGTTAAGCAGGGCGAGTTTCTTCATTGGGTAGGAATTTCCGAGTTTTAGGACGGATGAATGGTGGCAAGATGTACGGCGTGTCCCCGAAAAATATTTACGGAATTTTTTTTTACTGAAAAAAAAAAGACTATGCGTCGTCCAAATGTTGCACTAATGATCCGCAACAATTGCTAAAATTCCAGAACTGACTGTTCTGGAACTGTCAGTTCTGGAACTTACTTATCCACAGTTCTCAGTGATTTTCTGAAAATCTCAATGGAAAAAATGGGACCTGTTGTCGGTAGTTTGTGGCATTCAGCCCCATGTATTTTAGGGCTTTGTCGGCCACCATTTTCCCATTAGACATTTCCAAAAATCGCTCGTAACTTTTGAATAAGATAAGGGTTGCGAAACTTTGGTGCTTGGTCCAGACTGCTAGCGCTTCATCTGGACAGAGACTGAGCGTTTGACAACGGATAATTTATTTTAGCATATAAAAGAACACTGTGAATATTTTTTGGGGGCAGCCTGTACTGTTATAGGATCCCAAAAACATTTTGCAGCAACCACAAAGCAAGTGGACGTATCCACTTGGGCATGTCTTTAACTGTTAGAGAGTCGTTGGGGGGGAGGGGAGGGGGAGGAGAGGAGGGGGAATTGGGGTCAGGAGTCTTTTTGGACGTGCGTGCGAGTCCCTAGGACTCGGTCTCGCTTTTGGCTCTGCCGCAGCCGCCTCTGACGAGCAATGAAAACGTGAAGGTGCCGTAGTAGACGTGGTTTGAACTTAAATTCGCAACACTTTCCACATTCTGTTAGATAAGGAGCGTTTATAAAGTCGTACGAAAACCTGATAATTTCTAATTTGATATAACGAAGCACCCAGCATTGGTCTTTAAATGCTTAAGCATTTACTGCCCCGGTGCATACAACTGTCTCTGGTCTGGACTGTACCGTACCGGTTTTGTGAGGCCACGGCACGGTTCTCACCGTGCTCCACTTTACCTTTCACATGATCTGGGTAACGCATTTATTTAATATGCAACAAAACGGCGCAACGAGGTGCACATTGCATCGTAGGTTGAGAGAGTCTGGATACCTGGTAACAGCCGTTCTCCGCGAACAAAACTCGATGCGCCGTTTGTGTGAAACCAATGCAACAGCATGCAAACCGCTGGCGGCAATCGAGGAAACCTAAATGCCGACGCATTTTGTTGAGAATCGGCGTTGCGACGGCAGCAATTGCGGCATCTTTTTTTTAAAAAAACAAAACAAAGTATGGGCACACTTTTGAGCAGTTGGCACGGGATTGGGCAAGACTGCAATGACCGCTCGATTACCTCTTGCCCAGGAACTGACGAGGCAGCAGGTGACATCTGCCCCGACCTTGAAGCGGGAAACGACGCAGGAGAATGCCACCGACCAGAAGGTGTTTGTGTACCCGCGTCCTGACACGGGGCAGATGATACCGTTCAAGCCCAAGCAGATCTGCCGTGAGTGTCGATTCTACCCGCGCAACTCGCAAGCGGCCGCGTCTGCCGCGGCGGTCCACGAGAGCGCTTTGTATTCGTAACTCCAGCGCTCCATAGACAACGGGGCGGCAGTTCCAAGACGGTGCAAAGGGCAGGGACAGATTCCCCAGGATTGCCCGCTCGCCTATGCCAATCAGTGCACTAAAAATTAATTTATTTGGCCACGAACGTGGAAGTGGTCGGGGCAGGGGCACATCACGGGCGACGGAGACGTCGACATGCGTCAAAAAAACGACCACGTCGACTTTTAGAAGGTGCAAAGTGGAATGCAAGAATTGCTATTTTAATGTACCGTAAAATCCCGAGACATAGCCCACCTGACATCAAGAGCAAATTGGCTGAAAATATGGAGTGGGCTAACTTTCGGTGTACAATCAAGAAAAGTTTTAAAAAATAGCTATTTTTAGGTCGTGTCCATTACAAGCTTATGGTGGCAAGCGGCAACGAAGACTAGTACTTCCCAGTCAGCAACATTCGCTTACCGTAAAAACCCGCATATAATGCGAAACAATATAAGGACAACGAAAATATTCTGCGTAAAGTATGACCCAGGAAGTTTTAAGAATGTTTATTTGCGTCATAATTGAACCTTAATCACTGTCATCACGTCCATCAGACTCCTTGTCCAACGCCTCCAGTGCCGTCGAGCCCATTTGAAATCCCGCACTTATTCAATGGGCGAGCGACCAGCCAAAGCCGCCTGTGGCTTTGGACCAGCGGACCAGCGTGTGCCGATGCAGTGAAAACCCGGCATGGTGCATAAAGCAAGCAACTCAATGTTGGCTTGCCAAAGTTTTCAGGCAGCAGCTCGATGTTTACGGCGAGGTGCCGTTCACGCTGCTCTTTTCCAGTCGCTGAGACTTGCCTCGACGTCGGCGAACACACCATTCTTCGGGCTCCTAAAGCTTCTTCTCGTTCCGTTGCACGCAAACAGAGCTTTCCTTTGTCGTCTCCATCCGCGGATACTGCCCTCAATTACGGCGAATTGTCGTCCGGCTGCCCTGTTGCCGATGTCTTTTGCAACAAAAAGGACTTTTCTTTTGAAGGCGGTTGATTATCGTTTCTGCGCCGACGCCATTGCCGAGCTCACTGTGGACGGATGATGGCGCCTCGAACAGTACGATTTTAATGATGATGATAGCTGTTTAGAGCTCCATATTGCTTCGAAACCGAAACTACACCAAACAGTGTTAGATCGCGCCTCATCGAAGCTGAAAATTGTTGGGACCCACATATAATACGAGCCGCAAATTTTACATGACAAAATTTGAGAAAAGACCTCGTGTTATATGCGGGTTTTTAAGGTATATCCTGCCATAGTGAACTAGCCGCATTTACGCCGAGGCCACCATTGATCTCAACACTATTATTACTAAAAGTGGGCTATCTTTCGGTGCTTAAAAAAATGTAGCAAATCAAGCCAAAAACAGGGGTGGGCTATCTTAAAGACCGACGACCAGTTCGCGCTTTCCACTTTTCCCTTGCTTCCTCCTCTCCCCATTTCTACCCTGTCCACCGTTGCCTCTTTCCTCCTCTTCCATGGGGAGGAGGGTCTTCTGCATTGCAGAATCTCGGGTCTGGTCGTCGGCCTTTAAGGGGGGACACTACCCAAAAAAAAACAATTTCTGCTGAAAAACATTCATTTTGAAAAATGTCATATTTACATTCACCAACATCTAGAGGGTATTCCCAGAAAGTTTCATTGGATTGTACTGTATAGTTAATTTTTTATAAATTATTTTCTGTTCAGCGATGCTAAAGAAAAGGTAGAGGTTGGAGCAATTTGAACGCATTTTTCTCCATTCCACTTTCTGGCGTAAATTTCACTTTAGGAAAACTATCGTTTTGCTATTACATAACTTGGATTCATTTTTATAAGTTTTTCTGGGGTGAAATTTTAAGGGGAAGATAACTATGAGCTTGTATTTTTTATTTTTGTCATTTTTTATGCTCAAAAGCAAAAATTTTGGACAAAGGATGGAAATCTAAAAAACTGTATTTGTGTTTATAAGGCTTTTTTGTCATGAAAGATGGTATAACATAGAAATATAGCTCCATAGTTATCTGCTCTGAACTGTCCTAATGCAATATAACACATGAAAACGACAAATTTATAAGTAATTTCAAAACGATAGTTTTCCTACGCAGGCACGCCCACTTTCATCTTTGAACGTTTGCAGTTTTTTTTGTACTTCACCCAGGTTAACAAAATTTGGCAGAAATGTTCTCAACATCAACAGAAACAAGCCCTGTAAATATAATTTATTACAGATAAGTGGTTCAAAAGTTTACATTTTTGGGTAGTGTCCCCCCTTAAGGGGGTGGGGCATCTCTCGGGATTTTACGGTACTCACTTTTTCGGTTGAAACTGTGCGAAGCACGAACATGCCCACCCGAACCATGCACTAACGGTGGCACCAAGGACTACTATCCCCGCCACCGTCTCCGTCGTTTTCCCCGCTCCTCCACTTCTTCGTTCGTCTGCGAGAGGGTGAGCGGCAGGCTAAAGTTGCGAACAGTATCTTGCCGTCTCTGTTTACCTAAATTCCAGTAGGTTACGTCCACACTCCGTTTCACTTTAAGTGCGAGCATGCCAGAAGCCACAAGGTCAAGCTCCGGGTTTTCGAGCATCCGTTGCCGAACGTGTGCGCCCAGGCGGCAGGAGCGTCGTTTGGGGCGCCGCGCCTGCGCCTGCAGCTTTGGCTCTGCTCGCACATAAAGAGAAACAAATGTGGACGTCGGGAGTTTTCAAACCGAGTTCCTACTGCTACGGAGGCTTATGGAGCACCCTTGTAGGTTCCCCCCAAGTTCCCAAATACCCTTGACTGCCTCTGCATTTAAGTAGAACAGTTCTCTAGTTTGAGCAGCTCTTTATACTATCTGAGCTACCCAGCGCAGCGATGCGTAACTGTGAGCCCCAAATCTCCGTAGTATGTGCGTTACTGGTTAGAAGGTCCGTAGACTACTCGGCTGCCTTAATGCAACGTAGCGGACGCTGGAAGGGATCTCTCGGCTGTCGGTCGAGGGACTGGCGTTTTCAGAACACAGCTCTCGTAAAATGCGCGACTTGTCCATTAGTGTTTGCAGTGCTTTCAGTTCCCTCAACGACGAGCAGTGTGGCAAGGACACGCGCCGCATTTCACCACTTGCTATTTGTGTCGGGGCACCGAGAAAGGTCACGGGCTCGGGCCGGAAGTAAACGCAATGCGAGGATCTTTACGTTAGAGCTTTTATTAATCCGCAACTGAGTGCCGGGAAGAAATGCGAGTGCGTTGGCGACGGGCAAACGCTGAGCTCTTCTGCTCGGTGTTGCAGCAACGGGAGCGCACCTGGTTGCCGGAGGAGTATTTCCTCCTCCCCCCGCCGCTTCGGAGCTGATGATGCGCCTGCCTCCTCCAATGTGCTTCATGGTGAGGATGCTTTGCACTTCGACCTGCACCTAAAAGGAGCACTCCGGCAGTTGTTTGAGACACCCAAGCTACCTACCTTAGAATACCGCGCATCCGCCCATTCCACATTAAGCGCCTATTCCCAAATTTGTAAGATCTGAGAAAATACGCACAGCACATTTATATGTAAAATTGATGACCGGACAAGCGCCCATCCCCCATTTTTTTGCGATTATCTCCGAAGTTTGAGAGGGCGCTTGCCCGGTATTTTACGGTAGATTTCCTAAACACCCGGACTTTATTTTTCTTGGCTTGCTATTTTTTATCTATACCTTCAGAATGGCCAATGCGAAAATGTCTAATGAGGTTTTTTTTTTTTTACTCGCCAAAATACACTATGCATTGCCAAACGCTCGTTCGCCGCCCAAACGTAGCGCTAGCAGTTCGAACCAGATACCAAAGTTTCAGGACTAACCATTATCTCGTGCAAAAGTTATAAGTGATTTTCCGAAAATTTCCACGGAAAAATGGGGTCCGTTTTTGCTTGTTTTTGGTAACTGGCACTATTGAGCTCCATGCATTCGAAAGCTCAATCGGCCACCATATTCCCATTAAAAATTTCGGAAAATCATGTATAACTTTTGAGTAAGATAATAGTAAGTTCTGAAACTTTGACACCTGAATCAAACTGCCAGTGCTACACATTTGGGTGGAGAATGAGCGTTTGGCGATGCGTGGCTCATTTGCGGTGAAAAAGAACCTTGTAAATTTCTTTTTTTTGGGACAACCTGTATGTTATGCCAAAATTAAAATTAAATTTCCTCTATCTTTCTAGTGCAGTGACACCACCGGTAGGCAGACTTGCGGGCCAAGTAGGCGGTCTAAAAAAAAAAAAAGGATGTTTTTGTCCCACATTTTTTTTGTGCTGTTGAGTGAGCTCCCACAGCATTTTTTTTCAGTCCATTAGTCTTCTTGTACAATCACTCGGGGACTAATTCTGCTTAACAAACGTCATACTTATGCCTGCCACTGGTGTCGCTCTTTCAGTGTTGCCAGTAGAGACTTTCAGTCGGTGAGGACCAAATTTCAAAATCACTAACTTGCCTAAAAAACTTTTCATTTTTGCAGCTCTTTGTCAGCTCTTTTTTTTATTAAGTGCCATTGTTTTACGAAGATTGTGACAAGATTCTCGCCAGCGAATTGCGGTGAATTCTATCAACTTGGTGGTGTTGTTTTTCTGCATTAAATCAACTTTATTCTAAGGCTTTAGGTTATGTCCTAAATTCAATAGATAAAAAGTAATTAGATGCAACTTGGAGTTATTATAATCCTATATATATATATTTTTTTTTTTTCTTTTAATGAAATTTATTTAATAAAATAACTTACTTTATGAATGGTTAATACAATTTTTTAAACTGTCTATTATGTTTGTTTGACCGGTCACACGTGAGCAGTCTGTAAAATATGTTGTTGCAGCATTGGCTGGTCTGCCAGACACATTAGCAGTTAGGCAGGGCCCAATCCTCTCGCGACTGCTGCGGCATTACAAAACGACCCGGTCTTTGCAGGGCCCCTTCGTGGGAGTTGACGAGCTCATGGACCTCTTCAGGAATCTCAACCTCCCAGACAAACGTAGGTGGCGACTCAAAGACGAGCCCCTCCGAATTTGTCACTGCGGTAAACCATGCGTCGTGGAATGCCCAGACCCTGCCCAGATTCAACGCCATGGGTCGGCACCCAATTCGCCAATGCGACAGAGTGCGATAGTTGTAGAGGAGAGTTTCTGGAAATTTCAGTCGGAAAGGGGTGTCCACAGGAGCCAACTCTCTGCCAGTAACAAGTACCACCTTTTACGGCAATGGCATTTTATGGGCTCTCCCACCGCTGGAAACAATGCCCATCCTCCTTGCAGCAGGGCCTCCGTCGTCGACGTCATCGAACGCTCGAAAAAGGTCGCCCATTGCCACGATTCTCCAAAGATTCGGTCCCAGGCGCACGCCACGCGCGAAGCGGGCGCGTTATTGCAGAGCTACGTCACAGCTTCGAAGACTTGCCTTTATCGGTGTTCTAGGAATGCAGCGCGTGGGAGTCTCGAGCAGTGCCCACCAAAGAACCACAATTGCCACGACGTTGTGATATAATTTTTTTTATTGTTCTTGATTGATTCTAAATTTAATCGGAGTGAATTGTTTAAAATGAAAGCCTCGGCTTAGAGGCGTGAGCCGCCCCCCAGCTAAAAGGGTTTGGCTGTATTTGTCCGTCCTCCATCCGTTGTCGCATCACTGCAATGGCTCGGGCGTCTGCTGCAGTTCGTCGTGAGGCGATCTTCCACTGTTGCGCGATTCGTTATGCAGACTGAACGATGCATTCCGCTTTCTTCGCAAGTGCCCCCTTGCCTCCCCGCGCTCAGTCTCACCTAGAGCCGCTAAATCAGCTGCGCTTTGGAGTGACAACTCTTACCCATCTTGGCGCCTAAATTTACGGTTGCTACTTATATGAAGCTTTATGTGGCGCAGTTGGCTCATATTCAGATACATGGAAGTGCCAAAAACGACAGAGACTGGAAACAACATAAGGCACACTTGCAACTGAAGTTTATTTATGAAAAACACATAATATAAGCCAGAGTCGAAATGCTTATTTGTCACAAGAGTCTACAAAACCCCTTGATAAGATCAAACTCTTTCCTTGAAAAGGCGAGGGAGGGTTTGCTGACGCACCCATTTCCTTTTGCCCTAATCTCAAAAGCCTCGTGAGCTTCACGGCACACTTTCTCTTTATATTTCGCTAGGATCTTAACGTCATGCAGAACTGGTGAACATGTGCAATGACTACAAGGGACGGCGAGATTCCCAGAAGGGCTCGCTTTCACGGCTGCCGCATGTTACCGCTGACTTGTGGTTCCGTGTTCATTGGTCAAATGGGTAGGTGTGTCAATGACTGTGCATGTGAAAATACGGCTGCCATGAAAGCAAGCCCTTCTGGTAATATCGTCATCCATTGTAGTCATTGCCCATGTTCACCAGTTCTGCATGACGTTAAGATTCTAGCGAAATATAAAGAAAAAGTGTGCCAAGAAGTTCACGAGACTTTTGAGATTGGGGCAAAAGGAAATGAATGCGTCAGTGAACCCTCCCTTGCCATCTCAGGGAAAGAGTTTGATGTTATCAAGGGGTCTCGTCGATTGTTGTGACGAATAAGCTTTTTACTCCGGCTTATGTTACATGTGTTTTTTTAAATAAACTTCAGGTGCGAGTGTGCCTTGTGTTGTTGCCACCCTTCTTTGTCCCTGTCATTTTTGACGCTTTTATATATCTCTATCTGATATAATGGGAAGCACTTTTCTGTCCTTCACAAATGTTCAAACAGTTCGCGACGGAGCAAAGCAATGTTACACGAGCTTCCTAACACCGATTCTAACGCCGAGGAAGTTGAACTTTTAAATTGTGACGTTTGTCAGTTGCATCTGCTCCGTTCTGAGTACCAAGATGGCGGTGCCCACAACAACATCGGGGAACAGAGCGCCGACACACAAAGTGTAGCTCACTTAGTGGCTCTAGTCTCACCTACTTCATGGTTACCGGCAACACGGGTGGCACATATTCACCAGACGTCCTTGCAGCGCCCCGGCCCAGTGAAAACGGCGTCTCTAAGGACCACCTGAAGCTGTTCGAACACGGCACGGCGGCGTCGCAGCAGGGCGGGGCCAACCAGGGGGGCGGAGTCAAGCGGAAGCACCGGGCGGACGCCGCCGCACCGGCTCCGGGTGGTGCCCCGGCTGAGGACAGCGAGGGAGAGGAGGGGGGGCTAGTGCCGCCCGCCCACGACCTCTACCGCCTGCGCCAGCAGAAAAAGGTGCGGTGAGAGGGGGCCCCTCAAAAACCGAGGGTAGGGGCGCGAAAGGGTGCCACACGTTTCGTCGCGACGGGCCCTCTTCGAAATTCAGTGCCGCCTGGCGGTCGAAGGCGAGGTTAATAGACAGGGGAGCTGGTTAAGGTTACCATACGTGTAATTTAAACTGGAGACGGAATGGACAACGAGAAAGAGAGAAACACTCGTCTCGACCTCCGGGTTGAGAGATGTACGTCTCTTCCTTGTCGTCCGTTCGTCCCTGGTTTGTATTCTTTGGAGCCATCTGGTGGCTCAAATATTGGCCCATTTTTGTCACACTAATGGTGGTAGAAATTTAACATTTAGTCAGGTGCCGTCACTGTTCGTACAACAGCAGTTAATGGGAATGCGTTCTCTGCTGTCAATTATTTTTTGGCTCATTTCAATTTCGATGGGGACGAAGAAATTAATGGTTTGCACAGAGTGCTCACCGAAGTAAAGCCCTCCATGACTGAACCCGCAACTTCCAAGGGTTTGTAGGCCTGCTACTCGGATGGTTTTAGCGACCGAAGTGACCGCACTGAATTTCAGAAGGGGTCTATTCTAAATTGGCGAGCCACAAAGCTGTGTGGCCTCCTGTGACTGGACTGAAAGTTACAAGTGACAACTCGTGGCTGTGAAAACCGAAACCCTCAGCGTACGTACGCTGGAATCTCTTTGCACAGCTATAAATTTTACGCTCTCTGGCTGCATCGCATTTGGACAAGAAGACTGACCAGACTTACGGGGACAAAACCGTAGATGTATCGGGTCTGGCAACAGTGTTTCCAAGCATAAATGTCGCGTCGCAGTTTATATCTCGCTTCTGTCCCCATTTCTTGGTAGAGTGTGTCTTCTATCGATTTCTTGTGGATCGCTGACTTTTTTTCTGTGCTTGGGCTTTTATGATCGTAAAATGATTTGTTGATCCTGAAGTGTTCCCAATGCACCGAAAAATGGAGGAAGAGGAGGAGACGAGAGGACGTCGAGTTCTGGTTCGAACGTTGAACGCATTCTAATGTGTTCAGCGAGTTTATTGGAGACAAAGGCAGCAAGCTTTAGGTCTACCCATTAATCATTTCAAGCAGAGCTCGGCATTTTGACGTCCCTGCTCACTCTTGTATGCTTTTCTCCCTCAGTTTCTTGGCGCATTGATATTGGAAGCATGTTTATTTGTGATTGAACCTGAAGCTCGTGTTTAAACACATCTTGTTTTACACCTTTTCTTGGCACCATGAACATGAACATGACATGAGTGTTGACTACCAGCATCAATATTTATTCTTTTCTATAAGTAACTTGGTAACACGTGAAAAAAAATACTGGAGCTCTTACAAAACTGTTGCATGCACAACCTGTAAACTATAACCTATTCAAAACATTTTTTTTACCATGGTTGTTCCTCGGTGTCTTTAACAGCTCAAAAGTCAGTCGAAATATTCTTTGGGTTTTGTGGTTCCTATCTTCAAGCTTCTTTATGGGCTCATGGGAGAGGCCATAAAAATGCAACACGTTCACTACGGTAATAGCATTATCTCTACTCTATTCCGTCCGACTATTCAGTTCATTCTTTGAGTTGAGGTGGTGACTGCGCTTATTACCTTCTATTGTTCTTAACCTTGTGTTCATGTGAACTTTCATGGCAGCATAGCAAGCAAACATTATAACAGAAGCGTCAGTCGAAATCCATATGATGGTTATGCAGTCTTGTAACATGTGTACTACTCAGCCTGCCTTGTTGACATTTCTGTGTAGGTTCTGTTGCATAGGTTCTTGTTTTGAGTTCAAAGAAGTGCAAGCAAGTTACATACTGTCAAGCCAGATTTAGAGTTTTACAGCTTTAAGGCTGCCGAACTCTGCAATCTTCATTTATTCTCTCTCTCTTTCTCTCTCTCTTGTTGTACAGATTGGTTTCAAAAGATGAATTTGATTCTGCCTTTTTGCATTCTGAGGTGCACTTGGTGTAATGTGCGGAACAGTAGCTCTATGGAATCAATTTCAAGTTGTCATGTATCTGTTTTCATGATTTTGAGGAAGATACCTTTCTCGATTCCAGCGTGCTTGGATTCTGCTTTCATTGTGGCATTGCATCATGCATATTTGGTTGCATGAGGTGTAGTCGCTGCTGCAAATGACATTGTGATGACACAATCAAAATCCGTTTGCCAGAGATTGAACCTCTCCCAAAGATATCGTAGACGCTGTTAGGTGCAAGCGGAATTGTCTGCAATGCCTTCGAGGATTTGAAATGTGTCGTACCTATTGGTTACTCGTGGCATTAGCTAACTGTGCGTGTGAGGAAAACACCACTTTTAGAAAAGCAATATTGGAATATTGCATTTGGTGTCCCTTTAAAAAGCTTGTTCATTTGTTTGTGTACAGATTGCTTTTGTGTATGTGCATATTCACGTTTTGAAGTGATCGTTATCTCGCTTTCTTGCATTTGCAGCTCATGTTTTAGCGACGGGGACTTACAGAGCACGGTTTCCCCAAGGCTGTGTCTAAGCGAGAATGGTTTTGCAAGGACCCATGCCATTTATTGCCGGCGTCAGCGACGGAAGCGCAGTGTTTACCTACATTTCTTTTCCTCTTTTACACATTTCCCAGTCACGGATAACGGCGCAGTTCGTTGTTCATTGCCAACGACGCTCGGAACGCCGCATTTCATAACCTTGTGAATGTTTCATAGGTCACTCTTTTTTTTTTTTTTTTTTGCTCCCCGTCTTGTAAATACATGCACATGTCTCTATAGGCTGGGTACCCTTGAGCTGGTTGATTAATAAAGAAACAAACTGTGTCATTCATCATTCCACCTTGGAAGGGGAGGGGAACTATTACCACATTAAAAGGTTGCTTTCAGAAGCCTCGTGAAGTTGTGTTTCTTAGTGTGCCACTTGATCATGAAGAATGCCCTTGGTGGAGTTGCCCCTGTCGAATTTTAAGTGCAGTTAAAGGAGTCATAAAACGCTTTTCCAACTTTTCCAGTTTAGCTTTTCTCAACTTATAAATTGCGCATTCTACCAAACAGTTCAAGAAGACGGAAAGGGGCAAGTCCCTCTTGCTCGGAATCTCGTTTGTGTAGCCGGACACAGCCATTGTCCCCCAAGAAGATCATCCCGTTGCTCAAAATTCAGACGAGAATTGCTTTTCCCACCCCGTTCACCCCGAAGCTGGCAGTGCGGTGGAAGCTACTTGCTCGTTGGGCCAGCCACACTTTTGCCACGTGATCACGATCTCTTGACGCGCAGAGAATGAGGTCAGGTGATGAGAGGGAGGCGGCTGATTGGTCCGGGAAGCGCGTAGCTTCCACCACAATGTCAGCTTAGGGGTGATAGGAATAAGTGAGGTCCGGTGCCGTGTGTTTGAGCCCGGTGACGCGCTCGGGGTCCGCGGATGTATCGCAGTAAAAAAAAGAGCTTACGAAGGGAAGGAGGTACGAAATAGTCCTCTGTCTTTTCAAAAATTTTGTACCGAAAGTCAGGCTGTTGACTTTCTACCTTTATTTCTTTGGCCCACTAAACGATGTGCAATTAGTAAAATCCCAATATAAATTCATTTACTCCAGCCCAAAATTCATTTCATGGGCCCTTTAAGCAATTTGTAGGCATTTATCGGAAACAGTTTAGACCCTTTCCATAAAAAGTATTTTCACCCTACCAAGGCTAACGAGGAAGGATCATAATTTGAAAAGCAGTCCGTTGAAATTCTGTCCTGCTTGTAGTTAACAATTAAAGAACTGTGCATTAAAATATCATCAGGAAAAGATTGACTTGATATGTCCAACCATGTCAATAAAAAAAAAAAAAAAAAAGGTTATTATAAAAAAAAAAGTTATTATTCAGAACTTGGGTGACGCAAGTCGCCGCCCAATTCCGTCAAACTTATCCATCCACTAAAAGTTTGTGTGTATAGTGGCGCCCTCTGTGACCTAGAACGCGCACTATTGAAAGCTCCGCCAAAGTCGCCACCAGGGCGAGCCACAGCTCTACAGCTTCCGAAAGAGATCCATTTGAGACCAGTGATGCCCCGCCAGCTTCCGCTCATCCTCCGGTATTGCCCACTTGGGAGCCTGGAGCATTCAATATGACTGCCAAATCACGGTTCTCCTTTTCCCCCGTGCTGTGCTCCGCTCCCAGCGACGTGCAAAGAACAACTGCACACATGCGTAAGTCATTGTCGTGCATCGGCGACCAGCGACATTGCGCCGGGATGTCCTGTCACTGGAGGCTGCATTGATCTTGGACAAGAAGAAAGAAAAACGTAAGTAGCCTCTTGTCCAGCTGCATCCCTTTCGTCGTACCTCCTCTCTCCCTCCTCCTCATATGCACTTTATTTGTACATGTATGGATTTTCGAGACGTGATGTCTGGATTTCCCCGGCTTTGCAATCGATACAGTTGTCGGCAACACATCTTCAATTTCTCTCGCGCACTTGAGCGAACTTGGCCCATCTGCGCCCGCAGTTCCCTTGGCCGCGATGTTGTTCTCCATCGAGTGCGCCAGCTGATTCCGTTAGTCGAGAATCATGTTAATGCGGCAATAACTGACTTGCAGTCTGCGTCATCTCGGTTTTATCTCTGCTAGCTTTTTCCTTGCTGACAGTGACGGATGACGTGGTTTTCCATTGGAAGTGTACTCGTGTACTCCTAGTCATGCGCCAGACAGGAGTGCAGGGTTTGCAGTGGATGTTATTTCAGTATAACGTAAGTTATTTGCATTGCTTGTCGAGACTCAGCGGGTGCAAGAGTCCACGTGATGGATGGTCGGAGACTCGCCATTTTGCACGCCGTGAGGAAATCTGGATTTTGAGAGTCACTCTGATCGAAACATGGTTTTTAGACTGGTGTGCATACCTACAGTAAGTGTCCTGCTGCGTTTGGGACATCTTTCGAGCCATAAGGCTGATTGTCTTGCATTGCGGTTCAGTTCGTTGAGCGATGCAGCCATTTCACTATGTGTTTCACTAATTATACTGTTGACTTCTATCTGTGTCTCTGGTGGCATAAGATTGGTCGCAATTGGCTAACATTCCGAGTAAGATTTCGGTGTGTTCGCAAGGAATAACACTTATCTTTCGCTCAGATTCACAGCGAGAGATGTAATACGAGAAACTACTTCTTCTGTCAAGTTTGTTGTATTAGATTCGTGTACCACCATACGCGTTAGTGCATTTTAAAAACACCAGTCGTGCTGCAACGGCCAGACAGAGAAGTCACGTTTAGGAAAGTCACAAGAGGGGGTCGACAGACACAGTCGTCTCTTGTGACCATATCAGTTCTAGTCATGTAACCAGTATAATATCATGTTGTTCGTGGGTCACACAACTTCCTGTTTTTGCTGTAAAAGACTGCCTCGCTTCCTCACGGTGGTAACACATTATTCATGACCTTTGACCATGCAACCTTGACCAGGCAAAACGCATAGCCCGAAAGGTTAGATGTTATATTGATATAGCAAAACGTTCCAAGCTAAATTACCTTCAACCTGAGATGAAGCACAACTCGCGCCCTCTAGACGCGAGTTGCGCTCGCGCCTAGAGCCACCCGCACAACCCTAGTAAACAGTTAAGACTGTTAGTGTTTACTCTACTGGCGGCTCGCTCCCGGTCAGCTCATTCGGAAGGGCGTCCGTCTTGGAAGACGTCCAGGGATCAATGCCGAGTCTATGCAAATTTTCTCAGCGGTGCACCAGTCCAGGGTGCGATTTGAGCTCCATCCAGTTGGAAGTCAATATATTCTTGGGTCAGAAAAGTGTATCGCTCAAGAAACTTAATAGCAATGCAAGATACTAGACATATTACTAGTCCAAAGCTGTCTCGCAAAATCCAGCAGGATTGAACGCCAATGCGACGTCAACGCGTCAACTATTGCGTTCTTTGTCGTCAAGGCTAGCGTAGCTTCTGCGGTACTCAAACTCTGTCACAGCTGTAGTTGCACCATAGCCTCGTCTATACTCACAAAGCATGGCAGTTCGACGACGGAGCCATAGAGCGCCCGATCGCAGATTTCGAGCGCGAGGATCTGGTAGCACAGCATCAAAGAGCCGTTTTTCGGGAAACCTGGACTTCAGCGCACAGCTCTTGCATGTGCAGTTATAGCCTCCTATATACTGACAAAGCTTTGCAGATCGCCACAAGAAGCGGTCGCCGAAATGGAAAAGGTGGAGCGGCAGACAACGGATGGGAGCAGAGCCCCGTGATTGGCGCCCCGCTGCGGCGAGACGCCGAAACACGCTTCTCCCTAGAAGCCCGGCAGATCCCACGCTTCTCGTGGCGATCTGCCGGGCTATGGTTGCACATGCGAATGAGACGCAAAACGAAGCCACCTGTTCTAGCACTAAGCTACGTATACGCTCGCACCTTTCCCTAAGCGGACAGGAGTGCCACCGGAGACTGACATTCGAGCGCGAGTGGCTTCTTCGTGCTCTGTGACGTCACGTAAACAAACAAGATGGCTGCGTTGCTGTTGAGACCGTCGAGACGAAATTTGACGTAGCCGGACCGCTGCCCCTTTTCAGTTGATTAGTGCTTAATCCAGCAGGTAAAACCGATTTGATCTTAAAGCCAAGACAACAATTAGCGTTTCGAAAAAGGTTTGTTCGTGCATCCTGCCTGAAAAATAAATTTATCTATCAAACGGTAGCGTGCCGATAGCACAGCTACAGAAAAGTTTTCGAGATGAGGAGACATTTGGACCGCTCTGCCTCTTTTATAATGCTTAGCCTGCAGCGGATAAAGATACTTCGAATTGAAAGCCGAAACATCACTGAGTGTTGAGGAAAAGGTTTGTTCGTGCGTCTATCGAACGAGCGTGCCGATAGCGCATGCAGCGACAGTAAAGTTGTCGAGATGAGGAGACATTCGGACCGCTCTGCCCCTTTTAAATGCTTAGCCCAGCGAATGAAGGTACTTCGATTTGAAAGCCGAAACGTCAGTGAGCGCTGAGGGAAGGGCTTGTTCGTGCGTCTTGCCTGAAAACGAACTGATCTATCGAACGAGCGTGCCGACAGCTTGGCGACAAAAAAGTTGTGATGAAAAGACAGAATGCTGCCCTGCTTAGAATGCTTAGCCCAGCCGCAGCGAATAAAGGTACTTAGATTGGAAAGCCGAAACATCACTTAGCGTTGCGGGAAAGGTTTGGTCACGCATCTCGCCTGAAAACGAATTCATCTATCGGACGGTAGCGTGCCGACAGCTCAGCGACAGAAAGTTGAGATGAGAAGACAGTCGGAACGCTGCTGCTTAGCCCAGCGAATCATGATACTTTGATTAGAAAGCCGAAACATATCAGTTAAGTGTTCAGGAAAAGGCTTGCTCTTGCATACCATAAAAACAAAATTATTTATTTATTTATTTAAGTACCCTCAAGGCCCTGGGGCATTACAGAAGGGAGTGGTACAAGACAAATTTGGAACACAAACAATATACAAACACTAAAAGCCAAGCACGAAAAATGTAAAAAAAAATGTAAACAAATTAAGAAATGTATAAAACAAGGCAAACAAACAAAGAGAGATATTAACATAGGTAAGTAGTCAACGCACTTTTAAACAAGTCAAAGGATGGTATGTTTACTAATTGCGCGGGAAGGCGATTCCACTCTGAAGATGTCCTTGGAATAAAAGAGTTATAATAGGCTGAGGTAACGCAATGAGGAATTCCGACTTTAAATTGATGATCTACGCGCGGCGAGAGGAAAACAGGATTTAACATTAGTTTGTTTTTTAGCGGAGTATTGGAATGATAAATTTTATAAAAAAAGACACAAACGAGATATTTTTCGGCGTAATGAAAGAGCAGGAAGTGATAAATTAGTTTTCATAGTTGAGACACTAGATGTGCGATGATAGTTAGTAAATATAAAA